ACAAGGTGACTACAAGATAACAATAGTAGAAATTAAACATATATATACAATCATCTTACACTCTTCCTAATTTTTTGCTGAAATGTCTGAGAATCAAGGAAATAATTTGGTGTGGCCTTTATTTTGGCTTTAATAGATGGTTCAAAGGATCATTTTAGAAACTTGATCACTCAGCCGTGATGACACAAACTTTCAGAACCTCTTTTCAGCCTTATTTCCCATCTTGACTTCTTTGCTTACTTTTGAGTTTTAGATTCAGTGAGAACCAAGAATATATTTTGGTGTGGCTTTAGGTGGTTGAAAGGATCAGTTTGGAAACTTGATCAGTCAACTGTGATGACACCTTTTCTCATATTTTCAGCCTTATTTTCTATCTTGACTTCTTTGTTAATACTTTTAAGTTTTAGATTCAGTGAAAACGAAGAGTATATTTTGGTGTGGCTTTAGATCAGGTTCAAAGGATCAGTTTAGAAACTTGATCACTCAGCCGTGATGACACAACTTTTAGAATCTCTTTTCAGCCCTAAGTTCCCATCTTGGCTTCTTTACTTTATTTATTTATTGAAAATGCAACAGGACATTACACTGACTCTCAAGGCAGCAAAGCTGATATTAGAGAGTCAACATATAAGGACAAAACACTTCTTTACTTTAGATTTTTACTTTTAAGTTTTAGATTCAGTGAGAACCAAGAATTATATATTTTGATGTGGCTTTAGGTGGTTGAAAGGATCAGTTTAGAAACTTGATCACTCAGCCGTGATGACACAAACTTTTAGAATCTCTTTTCAGCCCTAAGTTCCCATCTTGGCACCGGTCCCCTTCCTTCCTGCCCTCCTGTCTTTGGGTCATCCAAACTGGAGGCGTTTCATTTCCGCTTCCTTAAGAAAGGGACGACAACTTCTCCCGCAGGATATTAAGTCTTTTGTCAAGGTCGTAAGTCTTTTGCCAAGGTCGTTGTCATATTAAGGAGGATGGAATTGGATCTTAAGAATTTGTAGAGGTGCCAAGTGTGTTCCATGTAGGGTGTGTCGCTTTAGTTTAAGATGCAAGAGTATTATTCTTGTCATGTTCAGGCCACAATGAATTTATTTTCTTGGTTGTCATAACTTTAAGCTATATGATATGATGACTGATATAACCATTGTTTTAGACACATAATGCTTCTCATTATATATCTCTTTTAATCAATATTTCATACTTTGCATGGGCATTTAAAACTGCAGAAACAAGCCCCAAGGTGAGTCCTTTATTTTCTGGGTGGTACCCTATAAATCAGTCCAGGGCCCTTCCAGTAACCATTGTCCATCAGAATTTTGAAAATTTCATTTTTTTGCTCCATGAGGGTTGATATACATTAGGATAGTGTGGTTTTAACTCAGTAGATAAAAGATAAAACAATTTTCTTGCTTGAACTCCTAGCTGTGTTTTCCATGTACATGTGTTTTCCCTGTTCTATTTCTGTGTCCATAATGTCCCTGTCCCTGTCCATACCACACTGTTGCCGGCCCAAAATTCATGATATTTTCAAAAACCAAGAACTACATGTACGATGATCGTATATTAGTGTATAACCGTCTTGTTCTTGCTTGAACTCCTTGCTGTGTTTTCCATGTACATGTGTTTTCCCAGTTCTATTTCTGATGCCATAATGTCCGTGCCCCCAATGCCTGGCATGTCCACACCACACTGTTGCCAGCCCAAAATTCACGATATTTTCGAGAACCACGGACTATGATACTGAGTAGTATGACCGTATAGTAGTGTATAACCAGTGTTCTTGCTTAAACTCTCTCCCTGTGTTTTCAGGCCCAGTTCTATTTCTGTGTCCATAATGTCCGTGCCCCCAATGCCAGGCATGTCCACACCACACTGTTGCCAGCCCAAAATTCACAATATTTTCAAAAATCAAGGACTATAATGACTGCTGTATATTAGTGTATAACCGTCTTGTTCTTGCCTGAACTCTCTCGCTGTGTTTTCAGGCCCAGTTCTATTTCTGATGCCATTATGTCCCTGCCCCCAATGCCTGGCATGTCCACACCACACTGTTGCCAGCCCAAAATGGAAAGAGCGCAACCCGCGGCTTTTTCTGGGTGATTTATGTTTGACAAAAACATGCCCAACACTCTTAACCCTCACACTGCTGCCTAACCCTTTAACCAGTGCAGTTTTGGTGCCAATTGGCTACCCTAGAATGTTTAAGGTTAAACACATGCACAACGTTTTGGCCCTCATATAAACTCCTTTAACCCTAACCCTGCTGTCAAAACCCATAACTAATGCGAATTTTGTATCAAACAGTTACCTTAGCAGGCTAAAAGTTAAATGTGTGCATAACGTTTTGCCTTCACATAAACTCCTTTAACCCTAACCCTACTGCCTAACCCTATAACTTATGCAAATTTTGTACCAAAAGACTACTGTAGCAGACTGAAAGTTAATTGTGTGCATAACATTTGGTCTTCACATAGACCCTTTAACCCTTACCCTACTGCCTAACCCTTCAACCAGTGCAAATCTTGTACCAAGCGACTCCCTTAGTAGTATGATTCGATGAGGGTTAAGGTAGACGTTACAGCAGTCGGCCTGTCACAAAGACTGCTTTAAACACGTCGGCAGTACCAGGGATACATGTATGTATGTATGTGGGTGGTGTTTAGGCTCCTTTGTCAATTGTTAGTGTAACTGTGTGTGTGGTGGTTTGGGTAGGGGATATCGATTGTACCAAAGGGAAGTGGTGTAGTTCCTGTTTGACATTGATCTTTTGTAAAGAAAATAATCTGTGGTTTTCTCAGTTTCTAGGTTAGGTTTGTAGAGATATTTTGGGTGGCTATAAATGATTTTGTCACTGAGACAGTAGTTGAAACTTGAATGTGAACACTGAAAGGGAAGTTTTGGAGGAAATTTGTAATCACTGTCACTGTGTGAGATTGTTGATCATTGTATTTCTCTACACAGCACAATATCTCTACAAAGCTAACTGTTGCTCAATACTGTTTGTAATTTATTTAGAAGGTTCTTTATTTTCAGATTGTGCTATTCAATAGATTACCATTCACAAATTTCTGATATGGGCTATCGTATAATTAAATAATCAAATCTTTGAGCTTCTCTGTAATGTTTATATTCAATGATTCATCTCTTATCAGCAATTTCTATCATCAGATTCAGAATCTAAACACAATTTTTCAGGAAGGCCCTTTAGTTTTGTCACAGGGCAGGTCCATATAAAGGACTATGTGACTCATGATTGTAATTTTGTAATTTGTGTTCTCAAAACACTTTTCTTGGAAAGCAGGACGCACCAGTCCTTTTCTGGACTTCAAACTTTGTTAGAGACATGAGTCACTCATAATACAGACATGTTAACCTTCTTCCTACTATTACTAAGGTGGCCTTTTGGCTACTCGGTTGTCTTGATTACGGGTTAAGGTAGCAGGGAGAAGGTTAATCATGAGTTGCAGTAATTTGAGAGGTGGGGGCTTAATTTTGAGTTGTGAAGATATTTTCAATATTGGAACATTAGTAAGTATTATTTTAATATTATAGATATAACATAAGGTTTAAAGATCTACATGTGTATCCAGTCTTAATTTTTCATCATCATCATGTCGGGAGTTGTAGTTCCCGGTCCCAAACCCTCTCTCGCCAGTCCACTTTGTCCACTTTTTTAGTTTTGGAAAATATTTTCTATATTGGAATTTTACTATCTTCTGTAAGTACTATAATTTTATAATTAATAGTTGGACCTTTAGAAATAACATTGAAGGTTTATATGTCTATTTTCCTCATTTTCGGTGACATTTTGCTACCGAGAAGACAAAGCAACTTGCAGTAAGTAACAGCTGTACTTTAGTGACTCTCCAGACTGAAACTGAGACATGAAACACCAGACCAGTCATCGCTCAATCTTCTCTTTTGCCCCAAGGAAATTATTCCTTGACTTACCCTCCTAAGAACCTTAAAAGTCAGGCTCAAGTTTAATTTAGATTCTTCAAGTGTCCTGACTCAGCCTTGCAAACATTAATCAATAAATAATCAATATATCTAGACAGGATGAATCAATAAATCTTCAGTGTTATTTCTAGAGGTTCAACTATCAATTATGATTATAATAATGACATCATGTCATTATTATAATGTCAATAATATATATTGAGTTCAAGGTACAGAAATGGCTGTGAAAACAGTGCACAAAGTACTGTAAAAAATTCACTGTACTTACAGTAAGTTAGATTCTTATCATACTAAATCATATCCAGAGAGTCACGCTCGTATTTCTGTTATGATCAGTTAGGATTGGAATTAAAAAATATGATTTTTATGACGTCAATGATAAGTTCAAGGTATAGCAATGGCTGTGAAAGCAGTGAACAAAGTACTGTGAAAAGTTCAGTACTTACAGTAAGTCAGATTCTTATCGCACTAAATCATATCCGGCCAGTCATGCTCGTATTTCTGTAATGGCCAGTCAGGATGGGGACTGATATTTTGGGATAATATTTATGTCCAACAGCTGAAGCTATAGAACACTGTCCATGGGTCATAGTGTTACTCATTTAGTGTTGCTGTTGATTAACTTGAAAGTAGGGGCTTCAGAATCAGTCTCTGATCTTAAGTTCTGTTTCTTGCTAAGCTGAGAACTTATTTCTTTTCCAGATTGGTAATATAATAGATAAGTGTCCATTGTAGAAACCCAACTGGAAATGCAGGACATGTATACAATTGTTTAGTACTGCATGTCAGAACTCTACTACTGTTTACATATCTTTTGCCACAGTTTCTTTCACTCTATTGAGACCAGAGACCAAGATGGGGTCTCAGTCTTAAGAAATGAGATCGATAAATTGATAGATAAATAAATGAGGCCTGATTGATCAGAATTTTTTCCTGAAACGGTTCCAGAAAACTTACATACATCATGATACATGTAAACTTTTGTTTCTTGTTTGTTTGTTTTACTTATTTATCCAGGAATTGATTTTTGTCCTCCCCAGATTTTGAGCTGAAGACTAAGACAGACCCAAGATGGCGTCCCTGTCGCTGAAGATCTCGGTGAAGCACGCCAACGTGGTGAAGACTATGCAATTTGAGCCCTCCACCATCGTGTATGACGCCTGCCGCATGATTCGCGAGAGGATACCCGAGGCACAGATGGGAAATGGTACGCCAGCCAATCACAGATGGCCTTACATTGTCTTGTCCAATCATTGATGGTGTTACATTTTTAAAAATCTGTCACATCCAATCAGAGATGGCTTAAATTTTTTTTAATTTTCAAAAATGTGTGACATCCAATCAGATGGCTGAAGCTTTTTAAATTTTTGTCTTATCCATGATACGGGAAAGGACACCCGAGGCACAGATGGGAAATGGTACGGCAGCCAATCACAGATGGCCTTACATTGTTATGTCCAATCAGAGATGGACTTACATTTTTTAAAATGTGTATTGGCCAATAAGAAATGCTCAAACAATTTTTCATAATACTTGAGGCACAGATGGGAAATGGTACGTCAGCCAAACACTGAGGGCCTTACATTGTATCGTCCAATCAGAAATGGTGTTACATTTTAAAAATCTGTCTCATTCAATCAGACATGGATCAAACTTTTTGGAATTTTTATAATTGTGTCTCATCCAATCAGACATGGCTTTTACTTTTTCAGAATCTTGTTTGATCCAATCAGAGATGGCCTTGCATTTTCATAAATGTGTCTCATCCAATCAGAGATGGCTTAACATTTTCATAAATGTTTGGTCCAAAGTATTACCTTATCAGACGTAGCTTTTATTGTATGTTTCTTCCTGTAGGTTTCTCATAATTTGATCTTAGGTACAGTTAACGTCAAATACAGTGAAGCAAGCTTCATGTACCTGTAAAGATTTCTGTTTAATGATGATTTTATTGTCCCCCCCCAGCGACGGAGTTTGGTATGTTCCTGGCAGATGAGGACCCTAAGAAGGGGGTTTGGTTGGAGGCAGGGCGGACACTGGACTACTACCTGCTCAGGAGTGGGGTAAGGCTGTGTACTTACTTACTTACTTAGTTATGATGAGGACCCTAAGAAGGGAGTTTGGTTGGAGGCAGGGCGGACACTGGACTACTACCTGCTCAGGAGTGGGGTAAGGCTGTGTACTTACTTACTTACTTACTTACTTAGCTATGATGAGGACCCTAAGAAGGGAGTTTGGTTGGAGGCGGGGCGAACACTGGACTACTACCTGCTCAGGAGTGGGGTAAGACTGTGTACTTACTTACTTACTTACTTAGCTATGACGAGGACCCTAAGAAGGGAGTTTGGTTGGAGGCGGGGCGAACACTGGACTACTACCTGCTCAGGAGCGGGGTAAGGCTTTAGTTTGCTAGTAAAGTACACAGTAACCTCACCAGTATTTGTCACACTTCTGCTCAGGAGCGGGGTAAGGCCATCTGGGAATGGGGTAGAATGATGCTAAGGGCCACAGTTGGCTGAGTGAAAAAAGTCTGGTTGACAAGCAAACAAACTCTGGAGTTGGGTAAGGCTGGAGTTTGCTGGAGAAAAGTCTGGTAAAACAGACTGTAGTAAAGGTTTCCATCACACTTCTAGAGGCCTTCCATTTGTCAGGGCCCTTGAAACTTAATGGCCATAGTTTGCAGAAAACTTTTCTGAAAAGTTCTCTAATTCAGAAAAGAAACTGGACTGAAGACAAAAGCTTTGCATGCTACAATTATTATAAAGATACACATTTATACTTTTTCAATTTACATGTATGACCCTCAGATTCTCTTAGACCTCAACAGTACTGAGATACATCATTATAGATATATGACAGATAGAATTTACATTGAGATCAAGGGTAAATTTTACTTGTAAAAATGAATGCCAGTTCTAGTCAAGGTTCCAGTTAGTACTGTTGTAGTTTTATTGCACAGGAAAACATTTACGCAGAAAATGTGGGAAGAACTTGAGACAACTTTTGAGCTGTCCTCTTCTGTGTTCCCAGGAACAAGTGTGTAACTTAAGACATTTTTTGTGTTCCTCAGGATCTGTTGGAATACAAGAAGAAGCACCGACCCCTGAAGGTCAGAATGTTGGACGGAACAGTCAAGACAGTCATGGTGGGTTCTTCTTTCTTTTCTTTATCTCCTTCCTATCTAGAACCGTGCCTTTCTAGTTCTGTGCCTGAATGGGTTAGGGTTAGGATCAGGTACGGTTCTGGATAGTCTCTATTGTATCCAGAATGTGCCTATCTAGCCTGAATGGGTTAGGGTTAGGATCAGGCACGGTTCTGGATAGTGGTATTGTATCCAGAATTGTGCCTGTCTAGGTCTATGGCTGATCCTAACCCATTCAGGCATAGAACTAGATAGGCACGGTTCTGGGTACAATAGAGACTATCCAGAACCGTGCCTGATCCTAACCCAAACCCATTCAGGCATAGAACTAGAAAGGCACAGTTCTGGGTACAATAGAGACTATCCAGAAATGTGCCTGATCCTAACCCTAACCCATTCAGGGACAGCACTTGATAGGCACGGTTCTGCATAGAGTGAAGACTATCCTGATCCTAACACTACACTTTAGGCCTAGAACTATGCTCAAGCCCAGTTCTGGATACAGTACCACTGTTCATATGTGCCAGTAATGACAAACGATCCCCAGAGTTAATTAAACTGATGAGGGGTCACTGCGGGCCAGCTGCTGCCTCATCTGTCTTGCCTACAGTCGCACGTTCGAGGGTTTATCGACAGTCCCGACAGCAAACTAAATTAGCCAGAGTGCTGAAGCCACTTAACTCCATACATCAGGCTCAAACTGAATCAAGTCCGGGCGGCGTTAAAAGAACTGTTTGTAGCACAGCACTGTTGGAACTGAGTAGAATAGTTCCTCACAGAAAAAAATTATGTAAATGAAAACTGGAATACAATAAAAGGTGTAAAAAAAGTTGCTTATTCCAAAAGTATAATTTGCCAGGTCAAAAAGGTTGATTTAATGTTATGTCAGAAGTTTTATATCGCAAAATCGATCTGCATCAAAATGTCATATATCAAAATATCATGCTTCATGATTTTTTTTGTGACTGAATGTTGATGTCTACTGTGATACTGTCTGCTATGAATGTGAATGTTGACTAATGTGGTGCTATGTTTACTATGACTGTGAATGTTGTTGCCTAACGTGCTGCTATGTTTCCTGTGTTCCAGGTTGATGACAGCCACACAGTTGCCCAGTTGTTGGTGACCATCTGCACACGTATCGGTGAGAAACACTCATTAGTTAATAACTTGTACATGGACTTAGAAAAGAAGATTCATGTTAGCGACCGTGGCACAACAGTTCGAGTGTTGGACTCAGAACCAAGAGGTCCCAGGTTCGATACTTACCTTGCCCAGACGTTGTGCCTCTGGGAAAGGCACTTAACACGACTTCTCTCCCTGTACGGTGGAGTGATGTCAGATATAATGAAAAAAAGGGAAAGATCAGGAAAAATTAAAAGGAAAAATCAAAACCTGTCAGAATTGCTGGTTAACCTTGCATCTTTATGATAGACAAAATAAATCTGAAAACCTCAGCTAGAAAGTAAAAGAAAGAAAGCTCAGCTGCAGGAAATATTGTCTCTGCCAATTTGCAACAGAAAAATCTGCCAGCTGCTGCTTGAAAGAAAAACAAAATTCTGTAAACATGGAGGTTGACAAAATCTCAGCGGGAATCGCAAAATTACCACAGAAAAGGGGCCAGAAGTGGCTGAAAATGACCTAGAGTAGGGTTCGCTGACCCAAAGGTTAGGACCTCGGCTATTAGGCTGTCTGTTCAGTTTCCAGTCAACTAGAGTTGGACAAAACCCGTTTCTGGGTCATTAAACTTTGGAAGTGCCGTCTTCAGAGGGGGTCTACTAATTAGGTGCTTGCTGTGTTTCTCCCCATTTTAGAAATGGTCTGTTCCAGTAACATGTAGAGTGTAAGCACTACATGGGTTGTACCATTGCTTTTTAGGGGTGTTTGTGAAAAGGATAGCAAGTAGGGTGGTCCTGTCTATATTTCTTTTTCAACTTTGAGAGTTAGGAAGTATGGCCTGTCCACCCCTATGTGCAAAGTTAAGTGTCCCAAATCTGTGTACATCCTATGCAGGAAGAGGATCGTTTCACTCGTAAAATGGGGGTCAAGGATGCCAAAGGAAATGAAAAACTTTTTTTTTATAATGTAGGAAGAGTTAAAGATGAATTAGTGTAAATTAAAAGCAAGTGATATACAGTGTAGGTTAGAGAAGAAAAGAAGTGTGTGGGTTGTAGAATTTTCTTTCTTTTCTTTTTCAAACTCAGCAAGACTTCCGTTGCCTTTGAAAACCAACTTCCTTCCCCCAGATTAGGTAATCGGTCTGCGGTTTCCAGATTAGCATTTTTCAAAAACGGAAAACACAAGATAAAGAGATACCTCCTTTCTCAGTGTCACTCTGTCACAGCTCAAAACTGGTCACGTCTTAGATCCTTTACCATGTCTTGGCAACGTTTAAGATTAAGTAGCAGGCTTCACACTGTCTTGAAGATGGTGGTGGTTGACTTAAAGATGTACAGAGAGTCTTTAAGGAGTTCTGGGTGGAAGGAGTTAAGCAGGATTGCTCTGTGTGTCTTAGATGGATTCAGAAGGAGGATAGTAAGAATTGTAGAACAGGAAAGGTAAGAAAGAGACAGTGTGTTCCTGAACTTGGAATTTGGGGAGGAGCCAAGTCACTTTTATGGTTAGAATATCTACGGTACAAGTTCTTGCTTTTGTGCTAGTAGTAGTATATGTGCCTCTGAAGGTCTTTAGATAGATTTCTCTCTTTTGATATTACCCATATCTGTCTCACTAGCAAAGTGTTACATATCCATTTATGTCCGCAAATTTTTGTAGCAGAAGCAGAAAGGAACTTCTTAGTGTTGTATTGTATCATTTCAACATAGATTTCTTTTGAATACAACATAATTTTTTCTACCGATGTTTTGGTAGATGCTCTGTTGCCCTTATCAGGACTCTGTGCTTTCTTTTTCCCGATATAGCAACAGAGAAGCTGCCAGAATGTTCGTAGAAGAAAAGGTTGTGCAGCTAAGAAAACTACACAGTTGAATTTGTTCACAAGCTGTGGATATATTCTATCATGCTAATCAAGTCCTTTTTCTTCCACTTGTTTCTTTAGGCATCACAAACCACGATGAGTACTCCCTTGTTCGGGAGGGGGAGAAAATTCGGGAGGCGGCAGAACCCCCCACCCCCGTGAAGAAGGTAGGCGGAATCAGCGTACGTATCACGTTTCACTTTCACTTCCGCAGACACCTAGGGCTGGGGACCGACTCGTAGCACCAGTGTTTGCACCAACCAAAATTTCATCAGTAAGGGAATACATTGTACTTTTGTAATGATCCCTTGTGAGACACTTTGCTCACATGTTTAAGCAACTCATGAAACAAAAATCTTGCAAACCATTCCTGACACTTGTTCTTGAGTTTTTCTTAAGATTTTGTCTCAGATTTAAGAAGAAATGTTCTGTTTCATTATTTTGAATATTAGATTTACGTAGTGATAAAATTTTGTGTGGTGTTGAACATTGGTGATTGTGAACGGTCCCCAGGTTTTCCTATAAGGGAAGTTATCAGACATAAATCCAAAAATTATTTTTGAACATCTCAAATTTTCTCATCTCTTTCTTTGCTTCTTCCCTTCTGTCTGCTGCTATGCTGAACTGTCTTTGTCACACCCCTATGTCAGAAAGTGGAATGATCCAATCTTATCACATCCAATGTCTTCCTGAGGTTGGATCGTACCACTTGACGATATATGGGGTGTTTTTACTTGGAGGAAGTTTTTATTTTTGTTTGGTTTTTCTGTTATGATCTTAAACTTTGAACTGATCAAAGTTCCTGCTACAAGGCTATTCCATTATGAGCTTATTAGAGGGGGTGTACTCAGAGAAAATGAGAAAAGGTATTATTGAAAACTGAAAAAGTATTGAACTGATTTTTCATTTGCATCCCTCCCTCAAGTTTAAATGGAATGGCCCAAAGTTTAATTTTATTTTTGACATGCTCACTCACTCTATCATCTCATCTCTTGTTCTTTCCTCCTTTTCCGCTTCTCTCCATCTCACCATCTTTCTTCTCTCTCGCTCTGTTCCTCTCTTCCGACCGCTGAATAAGAATTACTACGGTACCATGACAAGAACGATGACCAGGCTGAGTTTGGTAAGTCGCGTTGCCGTGGAAACCACATCGGTAGCCATGGCAACCACATCAGTAGCCATGGTAACTGCATCAGTAGTCATGGCAACCACAGCACGGAACATGAAGGGCGTTTGCCTGCCCCCTGTGTTGCTGTCCTCTGCATCCAAACTCAGTGCCTGTGTGTGTGTGGAACTGTTTATATCCTGGTGGCTAAGACTGTCATTTTTCTGTGCCTGAATTTTGTGCTACACGTATGTGAACTAACAATCTAACTCTATACGTTTGAAAGATATATACTCTGCTTGTTTTTTTATTTGGATTTGTCTCCCTTCTCTACTTGAAACCCCTCTAAAATGTCCTCAAATAAAGTAAATTAATAGTAACCAGAACTGTGCACAGTTCTGGATACACATGGCCTATGCAGAATTGAGCATGGTTCTGGATAAAGCACAGTTTTGGATGCAACAGTGTCAATTCTTGTGACTTGAGTAAAAAACATCCTGCCTGCATATTAACTACTGTCCTTCACGCATGGTGTGGTTCCAGCAGGGAGTCTGGTTGAACTTGAGACTCTGTGTTCATCTGTGTGTGGTCTGAACTAACCCCTGACCTTGGCTGCCTTGAACTTGAACTTCAGCTAGTTTTATTCATAAGGCACCAAAAGTAATATGGCTAATGTTTGGGAGAAAATACGTGTTAACTTAAATGATTGATTGGTTTATAGATTGATTATTGATATTGACATGGTATGATTTTATACTTCACCGCACAGGACCGAACCCTGAATATTGATTGATAGATTGATTATTGATAGATAGATTATTGATATATAGATTATTGATACTGACACCGTGTGATTTTGTACTGCACCGCACAGGACCGAACCCTGATGAGAGATGAGAAGAAGATGGAAGCACTGAAGAAAAAACTCCACACAGACGACGAGCGTAAGTTTTGGTCTTTATCTCTCTCTGTCCCTTCATCCGAGGGTTAGACATGCTTGCACACTGATGCTGGGGCTGGCCATTTACCTCTGTCCTGTGGTTCTTCCCACTGCATAATTATTTTCACTTCGTAGAATACATACACTTCGGGTTAGGGAATCTGATAGACTCAGGGAATGTCAAAATGTATGCAGTGATTTAGGTTTGAAATTTTTTAGTGTTTTTTTTTTTTTTCTTGTTTTTTGAGAAAATCAACTTTACTTTATTTCTTACAACTTCCCCACAGAATGCAAAGAAACCATGACACAGAAACTCTTCTGTACTTCATGTTCTTTAAGACTAGTGATTCTCAAATGTTCTTAAAGTTTAAGTACCGGTAACAGTAAGTTTCTCTCCTTATTTCCCCAGTAAACTGGTTGGACCACGGCCGAACTCTAAGAGAACAGGGAATCGACGACACAGAAACCCTTCTGTTAAGGAGGAAGTTTTTCTACTCAGACCAGAACGTGGACTCCAGGGACCCTGTACAGCTCAACCTGCTTTATGTACAGGTCAGGAACTTTTCATTTACTTTAGTTTAGCACAAATCAACTAGATATGTAACAGTTACAGTAACAGTTCATTTAAGTGAATAGAACTTATTTGCCTGGATAGATTTTTAAAGCAGATGTTTCAGGTAGCATCCACTACCTTTTGTCAGTAACTGGGACTTATGAATTCTAGTGAATTCTAGTATCTGTACAAATGCGCTACATTTAATTGGCAGTGACTAAAGGGGTTTCTGTGTATGCGCGAACATTTTGGACAACTCCTTGCATATCCAAGTACTCAGATTAGTTAACTTCAGGGGGCTAGCTAGTCTGTGCTAGTCTCTGTTAAAGTCACCGTGTATCTGCCTGCTCCTGACCTTGCCCTTGGTTTCCATGGTGATCACCTTTGCCCTTTGAACCATCCACTGTAGTATCGACCACGACTACTTGTCCCAGTAACGGTGCAGGCATCTTGTCCGGGTCCCTCGGGTGAAAATCGATGACTTGAGTACGAAGCTGGGGAAGTGGCAGCGCTCTCCGGTGTTTCTCGATCACTTCGGTTAAACGGTCTTCACGCTGAAGAAAGATTCCCACCGGTTGCGCCATGTCGAGTTCTGCCTGGTCACAGGCAGCGGTCAACTCGCGAAAATCATGCTCTAAGCGTTCCATCTGTCGTTCCCTCTCTTCCGTGTTTTCGTCGTGTTTCTCTTGCATGCGTTGTCGCAAGCGGTTCGCCGTCTGTTCGAATTCCTTCATTGTTCGTTCGTAAGCTTCGATAATTCTTCGTTCCCTCTCCTTCTTCTGTTCAAGTAAACGTTTCTCCTGTTCACGGAGGTCTCTAAGAGTGGTGTAGTAGTTCCCTAAGATTTCTTTCCCCTCTGCTAGAAGTTTTTCCGCCTCCGGTTTGCGTTCCTTGCTGGCTTTCTGGATTGTTGTTGTGCTGTGGTTGGCGTGTGTTTGCTCCAAGCAAATATAGCAAATAGGTACATCGCACTGGGTACAGTACAGCTTGGGAGCTTCTGAAGGGTGTGAGCTACACTTGGGCGCAGTTTTGGCTGGTTTGGCAGCAGTTTTCTGAAGCTTTTCGCAGAGTTTTGCGACAGAGTGGTTCTCGGGTAGACCTGTCACTCCTTCAGGTGGAAGTCTCACCTCAAGGTGGCAGCTTGGACACTTGAATGGTTTTTGAGACTGCTCAAAGTACACCTGAAGACAGTCCTGACAGAAGGTGTGCTGACAGGGCAGCACCTTGGGCCTGGTGAACAGCTCCAGGCAGATGCTGCAGGACAGTTCTTCTCGCAAAATTTGCTGCCCCAGGCTCAGAGATTTTTTAGCCGCCGCCATGTTGTTTTTTCTTTTACGTGGCAGCCCCTCCCTGAGGGCAAAGGTCAGGTTACCTGGACCGGTCCAATTTGTGTGCCCAGGAGGGGGTGACAGGATCATTATTTGGCATGGAGCCAGGTTGTGGAAGCCTTTACAGCAGAAATGTATTTCTCATTCACTTAAAAGCATACAACCCAGCTAGGCTAAGATTTGGATAATTAAACAAATTAAAGCACTATATTAAGATCTTGGACAACTTTTACTGCAAATAAAACCAGTGCAAAGCTGCCTAATACTACATGTAAAACTAGTAAAACTAGTACCATGTATGTTGGAGAGTATAGTTTAATGCTAGATGTAGATATAGACTCACATACCACTGTGTTTTCTTTCTTAAGTTGTTTGTAACTGCAATTAGCCCTCGGGCAAGTATTTGCAATAAACTTTCTATAAAACAAGGTGCCCTCCTAAGAAGAATATAGACCAGCCTTTATCAGCAAATGTTTTCCTGTTTTTGTACATCTATAAAGCTATTTTGAGCAGTTAATGCTTTGGTTGACTGGGTTTATTTGTGTTGGGGACAGAGAGTATTGGCACTACCTACTACCTATGTAAACATACCAACCTGAGAGACCTGCATATGTGATTTGTACATTTATAACACTTGGGTTGTACCAAGTCAGGTCAGAGAAGGGGGGTACGGTGGTATTATAGTCCGCCTATAAGTATAAGATACAACTTCCTTTTGGCATTTACTAGTATTCAAGTTAAAAATTAATGCATGACTTATAAAATTCTTTTAGCGCTTTTATTTCATCTATCGCTTCTCTGCTTTAATAGGATTGTGCTTTCGTTCTTGGTAAATTTTTCTAACGTTCTTAAGAATAAGGGGGTGCCTAATCATTTTGGAGCATTATAACTATTCAACTGCTACAATGGACATGATATACATTGTACTTAGTCTAGTATTAAAGTAAGACATAGAATAGCAAGGCTTGAGTTCTTGATTCAACAGGTTTAATTTCTCTTGCTAGATAATGACAGGATCTGATGATTATCCATTTTTTTTGTTAGGAACACAAAACACTCTGCAAAGTATTCCCATATATTTAAAAAAGATTCAGGAAAGTACATGTAGATTGACTAACATTACACCTCACACTGTCATGCCCAGTTAAAGTATACTATATATTAAGTGGTAATTTAGCTTAAATGTGAAATATACCATCTGATATACAATAAGATTTTCTCAACACAACACAGCACAGCACTACATTACACTGCATAACAATTGTAACAACTCTTTTTTTGTTCATAAGATTGATGATAGAAACTTATAATTCAGTACACATGTTAAGGAAGATTATAAATACTAATTAATTGGTTCCCTTCCAAACCTCGGACACATAGTGGAAATATAGGGGAAACACTCTGGACAGAAGAGGGTATGTTTCCTCTGTGTGTCCTCTCCTTTTTCCCTCTTCAGAGGGTCCCTAATGTTTGTTTTAGAGGACGTATAGTGGAAGGGTTTCCAATGTGTTTCCTTCTCGCCAATTAGAGACTGTGTTTCCAGTGTGTTTCCTCTGTGTGTCCTGGTAATTAATCACTCCTAGGAGCAGAGACCAGCAAAGCTGAAGGACAGCAGGCTCCTGCCTTATCCCTGGGGCTTGTTATGGGTGAAAAATCAATTATCCATGCACTGCCAAGGCATAGACAGAACAGTGAAGGAATGAATTGTGTAGTGGTGCCATGACAGACCACCTGACCATGTGGTCACACAAGTCACATGATACAGACTATCCTTTTTGTCCCTTACTGTGTGTTCTAAGGAACTAAAAGGACCAATTCTCTTTCAAGGCAATGCATACCCATCCAGATACAGGTTTAGAAACACTGGTGATAGAACACAGTTACAAATGTACTTGATTTATAAATGATGACTAGAAATTCTGCCCCTTGTATTCCTTGTATTAGGTATATAACTACAGGCAAAAATTTGGAACACTGAAGACATTGTTTCATTCTGTATATATATGTAGGCGAGGGGCTGGAGTCTGTCTGACATTGCAACACAATTTCTGAGAAATGCTGCTGGGCTCTGCTCCTAGGAGTGATTAATTTAAACCAAACACACAGAGGAAACACACTGGAAACACAGTCTCTAATTGGCGAGAAGGAAACACATTGGAAATGATTTTCTGCTCCAGTCAGAATCCTGTGACAGCTCCTTGTGTTTCCATGGGCGGAGAAGTTGGTCACGGATTATCTATATGTTTCCAGTGTGTTTCCTGTGTGTTTCCTTTGGTCACACAGTGGAAACATAGGGGAAACACATTCTAGTATGTTTCCACTGTGTGTCCTAGGTTTGCGAGGGTTGTCATATAATACTTAGTCTCAATTTCATAATATTTATCTAACATTAAGGTTGATATACCACACAGTCAGCACTGAATTGTTCTTTTAACAGTCATGTATCCATACAGGTGAATGTTTCCATCTTCTGACGACTAATTGATTCTTCAATAACAGTTCCTGTATTTGTTATGCTGGGATTGTGTGACTGCTTGTCAAAGTGACATTCTGTTGTCATTCATAATCATGTTGTTCCAGAGAATAGACACCATCAGTTCAATTTCAGTACTTTTCAAGTACAATGACCTTATGGTGACAGGTGACCACCAGTTGTCCCTGTGGTGCCATGGCAACAGCCTGTGGGGACCTCATGCCATCAGCGATGTGTTTGATGAATCTGCCTGTCTTGTCAAACATCTTCACTGGGCTGTTACAGCTGTCTGCCATGATGATGTTCCCTGCCCTGTCTGTACAGATGCCACGGGGCCAGTTCAGCTGACCTTCACCACTTCCCCTGCCTCCAAACTTGAACAGAAACTGTCCGTCCTCCTTGTACACGTAGACACAGTGATTGCCACAGTCTGATACAAGAATGTTCCCTTCCCCGTCCACAGTGATGTACTCTGGGTCCTTCACCCATGATATTAGGGATACAAATGAGCTATCCCCATCCAAGTGAGTTTCCCCAGGTGCCTCGTCTGGTTTGAACACCATCACTTCACCGTAATCATATCCTCCGTGCTCTGCTGTTGGTGTAATGAAGATGTGGTTTCTCCTGGTGTCCACTGCTACTCCTATGTTCCTCTGAATGTTATACCAAGGTAGGTCAATCCGCCTTAGCACCCTGCCCATTTTATCGTACTGCATAGCACCATCTTTGCTCACTACCCACAGGTTCCCCTCCCCGTCCAGGGCCACGTCATGTGGTTCCATCTTCTCTCCACTAGGCACAACTGTCGGGAACTGTCGGACAAATGTTCCCTGCAAGCTGAAGACTTGGATTCTCTTGTTCTCCTCATCTGCTACAAAGATCTCCCCTTCCTCAGACACAGCCACACCACTAGGTTGTTTGAACTGCCCAGGTTTCTGTCCCTTCCTACCAATTGTCACCCTGTTACACTGAGCCACCATCTCCTTGTCAAACACAGTAACCTTGTCAGATTCAACCACCACCAGTTGTCCCTGTGGTGCCATGGCAACATCATGTGGACGGAATACATCCTGCTCAAAGATACGATAGAGGAACTTGCCTGTCTTGTCCCACACCTCCACACGTCCACAGTAGCTAGATCCGTGGTCTGCCACGATGATGTTACCTGCCCTGTCTGTACAGATGCCTGTAGGGCAATCCAGCTGACCCTCATCATCTTCCTGCCTTTTGTCATCTTCCTGATGTTCATCATCATCTTCCTGATCTTCATCTTCTTTCTCATCATCATCATCATCCTGATCTTCTTCCTGATCTTCATCATCTTCCTGCCATTCATCTTTGTGATGTTCATCTTCATCATCCTCATCATCAGACTGACTTTCATCTTCCTGAATGTCAGTAACTTCCCTATTTCCAAACTTGAACAGGAACCGTCCACTGTCATTGAACACGTGGACACCGCAATTGTATGGCATTAACAAAAGAATGTTCCCTTCCTTGTCCACAGTGATGCCTTCTGGATCCTCCATCTTCCTATGCCGACACACAGTCACAAGTGTTCCATCTGGTGCAAACACTTGCACTTCACCTGTGGTTTGTGTGATGAGGATGTGGTTCCTCCTGGTGTCCACGGCAACTCCTACATCTATGTCCCACTCTGTCACCTGTAGGTCAATCTTCCTCAGCACGCTGCCCTGTTTGTTGTACTGTACAGCAAAGTTAGCAGAGCCTGTCCTCCCCACCACCCAGAGGTTTCCCTCCCCGTCCATGGCTACACTTTTTGGTTCCATCGTCTGAATACCTGACACGACTGTTGGGAACTGTCGGACAAATGTTCCCTGCATGGTGAAGACTTGGATTCTTTCACTGTCTGCCACAAAGATCTCCTCTTCCACAGAAACAGCAACACTTTTAGCATTGTACAATTTCCCACATCTTCGCCCCCTCCCTCCAAATGTGATCCTGCCAGGCCGAGCCTCAATCTGCTGCTGACCTGTGATCTCTGCCACTTTGTCAGGAGGAACAGAGTGGACTGTTACCTGTCCCTGTTCTGGCTCGTGGGAAATTATGCAGAATGCTGAATACTCACACTCACAGTTGTATTCATCCTGAGCCTCATAAAATGTGTATGTGACCACCAGCTGCCCCTGTGGTCCCATGGCTACAGCCCGTGGTACCTCTATGTCAGTAGCAATGTGTTTGAGGAATCTGCCTGTCTTGTCAAACATCTCCACACGACAGTTCTTACTGTCAGCTAAGATGATGTTCCCTGCCCTGATACAGATGCCTTGGGGTCGCCACAACTGGCCTTTACCAGTTCCCAAGTCTCCAAACTGGACCTTTAACTGTCCATCTTTATTGTAAACGTAGACACAGTGATTCTCATTGTCTGACACAAAAATGTTCCCTTCCCCGTCCACAGTGATATACTGTGGGTACTTCATCCCCTGCTGCTGACCCACAGTTCTCACAAGTGTTCCATCTGGCCTGAACACCAAAATTTCTCCTTGTTGGTAGTCCTTAGCACCTTTGGTCTGTGTAATGAGGATGTGGTTCCTCCTGGTGTCCACAGCAACTCCTCTGTAGTGCCCTGTCTTCTGTAGGTCAATCTTCCTCAGCACCCTGCCCTGTTTGTTGTACTGCACAGCAAATTCACCTGAATCTAGGTGCTCAGAGTTCCCAATGTCTGTTTCTTCCGATGGGTGCCCCTTCTCTTTTGTGTCCCCCACCACCCACAGGTTCCCCTCCCCATCCATGGCCACATCTTCTGCGGACATATCCCATTTACCTGGCACGAATGTTGGAAAGTGTCTGACAAATGTTCCCTGCAGGGTGAAGACTTGAATTCTTTGTCCATCTGTTACAAAGATCTCTCCTTCCTCAGACACAGAAACACAAGTAACATCATTATAGTAAAATTTCCCAGGCCAACGACCTCTGATCTTTGCCACTTTGTCAGGAGAGAGGGAGTGAACTGTCACTTGTCCCCGTTCTGGCTCATGGGAAATTATGCAGAACGCTGAATACTCATCGTTGTATCTCCCATAGAACTTGTATGTGACCACCAGCTGCCCCTGTGGTCCAATGGCTACTGCCCGTGGTTGCTCTATCATGTCTGTAGTGATGTGTTTGATGAATCTGCCTGTCTTGTCAAACATCTCCACACGGTCATGTCCACTGTCTGCTACAATGATGTTCCCTGCCCTGTCTGTACAGATGCCACGGGGACCGCTCAGATGACCTTCCCCATATCCCATGTCTCCAAACTGGAACACAAACTGTCCGTCCTCGTTGTACACATACACACAATGGTCTGACACAAGAATGTTCCCTTCCCTGTCCACAGTGATGTACCGTGGGTACTTCATCCCCTGCTGCTGACCCACAGTTCTCACAAGTGTTCCATCTGGCGTGAACACCAAAACTTCACCTTGTACATGTAGGTTATCCTCATCACCTGTGGTCTGTGAGATGAGGATGTGGTTCCTCCTGGTGTCCACGGCAACTCCTCTGAAGCACCCTGTCTTCTGTAGGTCAAACTTCCTCAGCACCCTGCCCTGTTTGTTGTACTGCACTGCAAACTCAGCAGAGTCTGTCCCCCCCACCACCCACAGGTTCCCCTCCCTGTCCATGGCCACATCATCTGGGCGCATCTCGCAGTTACCTGGCACAGCTGTTGGAAACTCTCTTACAAATTTTCCCTGCAGTGTGAAGACTTGGATTCTCTCGTCCGGAAAAGATTGCTCCAGCACAAAAATTTCTCCTTCCTCTGACACAGCAACACCTTTGACTTCTTCAAACATTCCTCGCTGTGTCTGATCATCATCTTTTTCATCCCTTTTCTGACCATTTTCAGTCTCCTCTAAGATTGGTGTAGATGGGAGAGACTGGACCATCACATGTCCCAATACTGGCACGGGGGTGTCTGTGGGCTGAAAGACAGCAGGCTGGGTTTGTACAGGAGTTGGTGCTGCTTTTCCTCTGTACTTTCCTACCACCTCTGTCATCCTGGTTTGCTGACTGAGAAACTGGATTGCTCTTTGTTCCATGTCTTGTTCTGCTTGATCACAGGCAGCAGACAGTTCACTGACATCTGCCAACACTCGGTCTCTTTCATCTTGAACAAGTTTGATGTTTTTGCCATGCTGTTTTTCAGTTTCTGACAAGAGGTGGTCTTTTGACTCTGTTAGCTTCTGTGCCAAAACATCTTTCCTTTTAGTGTAAGCCTGAATGATGCTGTTGTCTGTCTGCTGTTTCTGTTCATTCAGGGATTTCTCTGTTTGTCTGAGACCTCTGAGAAAGCTAAGGTATGTTTCCAAGATGTCTCTTCCCTCACTGATCAACGCCTGGACTGGTGCTCTTTGTTGTTTGATGGCTTTTTTAAGGCCTGTGGTAGGATGTCCATCATGGCTTTCTTCACAACACTCACTACAAAGTGGCAAGTTACACTGTTTACAGTAGAGCATGAGTTTCTCAGATGGGTGAAAACTGCACCTGTTTCCAGATTTGGGCTGTTCTTTTCCTTCCCCTGATAGTGTTAGCTGGTTGTGCAGTCTCTCACACAAACTGGTAACTAAGTGGTTGTCAGGTAAACCTACAACCCCTTGACTAGGTAGACTGACCTGTAGCCGACAGTTTGGGCACTGGAAGGTCCCTCCCCTCCCTGCATGGTCCTGTAGACAGTCCTGACAGAAGGTGTGCTGACAGGGCAGCACCTTGGGCCTGGTGAACAGCTCCAGGCAGATGCTGCAGGACAGTTCTTCGCGGATTTGGTCCCCCAAAGTTGATGGTGCGGCCGCCATGATTTCTTCTCCCCTTCTAACTGCGTCACCCAGAGGACTGGCTCGCAATTAGATCAATTAATCAATCCCTAATTTGGTCCCGTTTTGTACATGACTTGACTGATTCTACAAGCAACAGAAGACAAGATTGTATTCCTTCTGTTATATTTGCATGACTTTGTATCATAACAATTCAGACAAGGGCAGAAATCATCTTCTAGGTTCCAAGCAATAATCAGAGAAAATAAAAATTGTAAACTGAAGTCTCCTGACATGTTAGTTGGTATGACCCAGTGGACAATAACAAGGTAACAGTGTTGGTCGTGTGTTTGTTTGCACTTAGATGGTAGAGAGAGATTGGTCTCAAAAGAAGTTGGCAAATTACAGTTTAAAGGACTTTATTTTCTCCTTCGTATCTCTCCCATTTAACCAACTAGCAAGCAGTCCTTTGGTGTGACATAAATATAGCTACAAAGTAGGTTGAGCCTCTCAGTAGTGTTGCTTTGTCCTCTTTGGCCCATATATTATTTTAACTCAAATCCAATGGGTCTCTACATGTATTACCCAACACACCCCACTCTTAGAGTTAGCACTCTTCAAATTACCTAGCAACACTGGGATTGTCATGTATGTGTGTGGCCTACCCAAAGCTAGGTGGAGTATCGTGTCATGTCAGGGGTCTGGTTAGCCTCTACCAGGCTTCGGGAGGCAACTGGAAAGAGTAGAAATTGGCCAAATAGAGAGAGATAACATGCTGAGGAAGTTGGTTGCACCCGAGTGCGGCAAACTGTACTCTCTAGCAGACCAATTTCCCTGGCAATTGTTCTCTCTCTATTTGGTCAATTTCTACTCTTTCCAGCCGCCTCCCGAAGCCTGGTAGAGAGGCTAGGGTCTGGTATCCAGGCTACAGCCTTGCCAGATGTTTTCTGAGGGACAAAACTGTTCATTGTTTAGTTATTTGTCAATCTGCTTGTCAGCTTTATAGCCCCAACAAAAGATCTGTGTTGTAATGAGATTTCTTTGGTCTGGGCGTGGGCAAACTTTTAACCTAACATTTATGAAATCCTGTTCTCAATCTTTTACAACTTTAAGGTTTGGTGAGTAGCGAAGGAATTTGTACCAGATATTATGGGTTACCATTAATAGTATGTTTTACAAGGCAACACTAGTCTAACTCAAAATAAAAAAAAAAGTCATAAAACTTCACAGTCAAACAGCTTTATTTACAATTATTGTTCTTAAGCTTGACATATGAAGAAACATCATTTCTTCACAAAACACACAGCACACCATTTTCTGCATCTAAACTTCTTAAGATATACAACATTATTAGTTACCTCTGACTAGACTTTAGAGAGTTAAAACTTTATCATATCTAAATACTAGTAGTCAGCTATGGTATTTCAACCATTACAACTGTCGCTAAGTTTGTCATCTGCAAACAAAACACAGTCCACAACAATTGTGCAAGTATTTAACATCACAGTAAGGATCATAGCAACTGACTGTACAAGTAGAACACACTCAGGTTGTTATCAGCTTTTAGTCAGTCCAAACCTGACAGCTGCCTACGTGACTTAGAGACCAGGACTTGTGATTGTTTAAGCTTTTAAAGAGAACTTTGTCTTCCACTGGTGCTTTGGAGCAAGGTAGTTTGTACTACCAATTCTGCTTACATGTAAAACACTCTACATGATTTGAGATAATGTATATTTTACCTGCTCTGGCACAGTTTAAAATGCATGGAAAGATGCAATGGCATTACATAACATTGTGTTTTCTATCAACTGACATTAAAACAAAGTCTTCTGTACAAAACTGATTATGAGGATAACAAGTACCTACTACAAAGTCTTGTACACAATTTGGCATAATTAATTAAATTTTTACACTTCAGTATTTTATCATGTACATAAAAATGTGCAATAATAAAAATCACTAACAAATGTATCAATATTACAATGGGTTACAATTCCCCATCTTGACAATGAGACAAGTCTTCAATACAACAAAATAAAACACACCATTATTATTATCACACAAAATTAAAATAGCTAACAGAAATACACACAAAAAGCAACATTTTAAACATTGTCAGTAGGATTCAGAATTGCATAAAAAGGTGTGATTATATCATTTCCATAAGTGATAAAGGTTTTTTTTTACAATATGTTAATGTTAACATCAAATTCAGACATTATGTACAGTAATAGTACTGAACTATTCTGTCCATACTCACATGGGTCCATCCAGGTTAACTTTTCCCTCTTCAGACACTTGATTGACTGACTGTACAGTCCAAAGTATTTGTTGTGGTATCCTTGAAGTAGGACTGCCTAAGATTAAGTGTTGCTTATCAAATTCTGTTATCGCCACAACTGTACAGGTACAATATTGGCCAAGAGGGCAGAAATGGTAATTTCAGTACTTCTCAAATATGATGACTTTATGGCGAAGGCAGTCAGTCACCACCAGCTGTCCCTCTGGTGCCAATGCAACAGCACATGGTGCTGGAATGTCAGTAGTGATGTGCTTGATGAACCTGCCTGTCTTGTCAAACATCTCCACACGGCTGTTTCCATGGTCTGCCACAATGATGTTCCCTGCCTTGTCTGTACAGATGCCACGGGGATTGTTCAGCTGACCTTCACCACTTCCCCTGTCTCCAAACTGGAACAGAAACTGTCCGTCCTCGTTGTACACATAGACACAGTGATTCTGCCAGTATGAGTCTGACACAAGAATGTTCCCTTCCCCGTCCACTGTGATGTACTCGGGGGCCATTATCCTTGATATTAGGGATACAAGTGCGTTCTCCCCATCCAAGCGAGTTTCCCCAGGTGCCTCGTCTGGTTTGAACACCATCACTACACCGTAACCATACTCTGTTGGTGTTCGTGTAATGAAGATGTGGTTTCTCCTGGTGTCCACTGCAATGTTTCCCCTCAGATACCGCCCAGTCCAAGGTAGGCCAATACTCCTTAGCACCCCACCCTGTTTATCATACTGAAAAATGTCATATATGCTCACCACCCACAGGTTCCCCTCCCCATCCATGGCCACATCATGTGGTTCATCTGTTGGGAATTGTCTGTCGAATGTTCCCTGCAGGGTGAAGACTTGGATTCTCTCATTCTCCCTGTCTGCTACAAAGATCTCCCCGTCCTCAGACACAGCCACTCCTGTGGGACAATTGAACTGTCCTGGTTTCCGCCCCTTTCCACCAAATGTGACCCTGTCAGATACCATCTCCTTGTCAAATACAGTTACTTTGTTGTGATTATCAATCACCGCCAGTTGTCCCTGTGGTGTCTTGGCAACAGCCTGTGGGCAGAATCCACGCTGCTCAAAGATGCGATACAGGAACTTGCCTGTGTTGTCCCACACCTCCACACGTCCATACTCGATTCCCTGGTCTGCCACGATGATATTTCCGGAACTGTCTGTACAGATGGCTCTGGGCCAATCCAGCTGACCTTCATCATCTTCCTTCCTTACGTCTTCTTTTGTACATTTATCTTCATCCTGATCTTCATCTTCTTCCTGAACTTTGCCATCTTCCTTCTTTTCATCTTCTTCTTGACTTTCATCATCTTCATCATCTTCTACCTTAATTTTATCATCACCATCTCCAAACTTGAACAGAAACTGTCCGGCCTCGTTGTACACAAAGACACAGGGAATGTGCATGTGATCGTCTAACACAAGAATGTTCCCTTCCCTGTCCACAGTGATGCCTTGTGGATCCACCATCTCTTCATGCCGACACACAGTCACAAGTGTTCCATCTGGTTCAAACACTTGCACTTCAGGTGCAAAACTGATGGATTGTGTGATGAAGATGCTATTGTACCTAGCCACAGCAACTTTTCTGTCACCCCCTGTCTTCAGTAAATGAAACTTCTTCAGCACCCTGCCCTGTTTGTCGTACTGCACAGCAAACTCAGCAGAGTCTGTCCCCCCCACCACCCACAGGTTCCCCTCCCGGTCCATGGCTACATCAAGTGTGTCCAACTCCTGATCCCCTGACACGACTGTTGGGAACTGTCGAACAAATGTTCCCTGCAGGGTGAAGACTTGGATTCTGTCATTCTCTGCCACAAAGATCTCCCCTTCCTCTGACATGGCAATGCCAACAGGTTGATACAATTTCCCAGGTAGTCTACCCCTCCCACCAAATGTGATCCTGCCAGGTTGAGCCTGACTTTGCTGTGGACCTGTGAACTCTGCAACTTCGTCTGGAGGAAGAGAGTGGACTGTCAGCTGTCCTCTTTCTGAATCTTCGGAAATTATGCAGAATGCTGACTGCTCGTCGTATTTTCCCTTATAGAAGTTGTATGTGTTTGTATATGTGACCACCAGCTGCCCCTGTGGTCCCATGGCTACTGCCTGTGGTTGCTCAATATCTGTAGTGATGTGTTTGATGAATCTGCCTGTCTTGTCAAACATCTCCACACTACAGTTCCAGCTGTCTGCCACGATGATGTTCCCTGCAATGTCTGTACAGATGCCACGGGGATTGTACAGCTGACCTTCACCTCTTCCCTTACTTCCAAACTGGAACAGAAACTGTCCATCCTCGTTGTACACGTAGACACAGTGATTCCCATGGTCTGAAACAAGAATGTTCCCCTCCCCGTCCACAGTGATGTTCTCTGAAGCCTCCATCCCCTGCTGCTGACCCAAAGTTCTCACAAGTGTTCCATCTGGCCTGAACACCAAAACTTCTATATCCCAGTCGCCAATGTCTCCTGTAGTTTGTGTGATGAGGATGTGGTTCCTCCTGGTGTCCACAGCAACTCCTCTAGATCTAGATCTGTGTAACCACCCTGTCTTCTGTAGGTCAAACTTCCTCAGCACCCTGCCCTGTTTGTTGTACTGCACAAAGTGAGCAGATTCTGTCGTCTCCACCACCCCCAGGTTTTCTATCTTCCCCACCACCCACAGGTTCCCCTCCCCATCCATAGCAACATCCTGTGGTTCCATCTCCTGTTTACCCGACACGACTGTTGAAAACTGGCGGAGAAATTTTGCTTCAAGGCTGAAGACTCGGATTGTCTGGTACCGTTCGTGAAGCACAAAAATTTCTCCTTCCTCTGACACGGCCACACTTTTGATTACTCCATCCAATTTTAAAGGATAAGGATATTTATCCTCACCTTCATGATGAGTTTCTTTGTCACTTTCTTGGACACTTTCTTGGTCTTTTCCTTTCTCTTTCTTGGTCTTTATCTTCATCTCTTTCTTGGTCTTTCTCTTGATCACTTTCTTGGTCTTTCTCTTGGACACTTTCTTGGTCTTTCTCTTCGTCACTTTCTTGGTCTTTCTCTTCATCACTTTCTTGGTCTTTCTCTTCGTCACTTTCTTGGTCTTTCTCTTCATCACTTTCTTGGTCTTGGTCTTTTTGGACACTTTCCTGATCTTCTTGTTTACATCTTTGGTCACTTGTCCCTTCTGTGCTTGGGATTGGTGCAGAGGACACATTTCCCTCTTTGTGCTCTTGGTTACTATGGTGATGTCCTATGCCGTTTGCTGCACTATCACTAGTTGCAGGTGCTTCTGGGATTGGTGCAGATGGGAGAGACTGGTCCTCCAGCTCTTGGTTACCATGGTGATGACCTGTGCCCCCTTCTGAAGGTGTTGCTGTGATTGGTGCTGAAGTTTGGACCGCCACATGTACCAATCCTGGCCTTGGGGTGTCTGTGGGATGAAAGACAGCAGGCTGGGTTTGTACAGGAGTCGGTGCTGCTCTCTTGCTAGTCGTAGGTTCCTGGTCTCCTTTATTCTTCTGTAGGATGTCCTGACTGTTGTCCTCCTGGCTTGGGTGCACCCTGTTGCTCTTACACAGTCCCAAACTTAAACAGCAGGACAATCCTCCAGTGGTCTGTGCCTCCGAACGTAGCGGTGTGGCCGCCATGATTCTCCTTCTCAACTGAACCTAGAGACAAAGTTGTTTGTCAAAATAACTGTACTGGCTCGTCCCACTAGTAACTGTAGGGGTGGGGTGGATTTAACAAAATACCTCATTGATATTTAAGATTAGTACGAAAATTAGACAACATATATAAACAGTTCCAAAGTGAGTTGGAAATAAAATCGAGAAGAAAAACAGAACAATGAAAACATGGTTGAAAATAAAATAATCTACATAAGGGTGTGCCCCCCCCCCTTTTCTAATGTTTAGGTTGCTATGGCCTAATGGACAAAAATAGCCAGCTCTAGTCATGTGCTTATTTGCTTATCATAGGTGAAGTGGTAACGTCTGAAGTACGGATCAGGGCTCAAAATTAAAGGTGGTCCGATGGCCACTGATCACTAAAATTTAGGATAGGATAACTAAAAACACACTTTGGGACATTTTTGGGACAATACAAAAATAATCAACATCATATTAATGTCAGCCCTTCTTTGTTTATCAGGCACACATCCTGGCTTTTGGATCTGGTCTACTCTGCAATAATGCACCTGGGAGTGAGAACATTAAGCAACATAAAGTTGACTTTGAGTTGAAGTCATACAATACTTCCTAAAAAAACAGGTTGGGACAGTTCATCCTCATGTCGGGACAATTGAAATTAATTTTTGGGACAATGCTGGGACAATAGGAAGAAAAGTTAATTTCAAGGCCCGCATATGTTATCAGCACATTCCCACACATTGGAGAGGTCACAATTCTCACCTATAGTATTTGATAGCCTTTCTGGCTCTCTAGTTACAGAGGCACTGAGCAGCCACTTATTACCAAATGTCAATCAATGCCTACGTGCACATTTTGTTACGTATCAAGGTCCAAGCTTTGTTCAAGCTTTGCTAGGCAAAGCAAGTATGGGATTGGCATTCTGGAAGCTAAACAATATGTAGTTAAGTTTCATTAATTTTATTTAATTAATATATCTGAACAGTAATATGAGTTCATGGCATAGGGGGCATTTTTTTAACCATGGTCGCTCACTGATGACCCAGCCATCCATTTTTATTATTGAGCTCCTAAATATATATTTTGGATATTAAAGCCTGAAAGGACTTACACCCATGACTTCTGAGGTTTTGCAAGCATGAGACAGAATGTTGAATGGGGTTCAAACTCCAAACTCTTTGGTCCACAAACAATCTCACCAAACCTTACATGTAACATAACTTGTGTGTTTGTGCAGGTAAATTTGTCACGACAGAATCCTGAATGTGATTCAAACCTAACCCTTTGGTCCACAGACAGTGTCACAACCAAACCTTACATGAACCATACCTTCTATGTTTCCTCAGGCACGAGACGGTATCCTGAACGGGACCCACCCCGTAATGGTTGACTACCAAACCTTACATGTACTGTACTTGTGTGTTTCTCCAGGCTCAAGACATCATTCCTGTGTGGGATTCAAACTCTTAACCCTTTGGTCCACAGACAGTTATACTACCAAATCTTACACTTCTGTGTTGATGCAGGTACATTTGTCAAGACAGAGTCTTACATGTACCATACCTTCTGTGTTTCTCCAGGCTCGAGAAAAGATTCCCGTGTGGGATTCAAACTCCTAACCCTTTGATGCACAGACAGTTTTACCACAAAACCTTACATGTGCTGTAACTTCTATGTTTCTCCAGGCTCGAGACGGTATCCTGAACGGGACCCACCCGGTAACGGTTGACGAGGCCATGATGTTTGCAGCCTACCAGACTCAGATCCAGTTTGGGGATCACATCGAGACTAAACACAAGTCTGGATTCCTCGAGTAAGTACCACTCAATACAGCTAGTATTTGCATTTATACATAAGGGGCTCGAAATACTGTGTGCATGCATGTGAACACAGTGACATGACTTCAAAGAAAAGTTTATCAAAACATGCTTCACGATCAAAACTGTTTTACTAATATGTGTGTGTTAAAATTTGTCCCCATATGATTGCACAAGAATTTTGTTGGTACAAATTTTTCCAGTTACTGTACTTCCAGCCTTTCTGCACAAGTTCTCCAGTGATGGTGACGAAAGCTAGTGGATACCTGAAACGTCTGACCGTTTGCAAAATCATATCCAGTTGTTTGAATAACTGTTTTTTGGCATATCTTATTACCTGAATGTCTAACCTTCACCGACTTATCTTGTGTCTTGTCCCCAGCCTTAAGGAGTTCTTGCCCAAGGAGTATGTTAAGAACAAGGGAATAGAAAAGAAGATTTGGCTGGAACACAGGAAGCTGGCAGGACTGACTGAGCTGGATGCCAAGGTCAGGTACACCCAGCAGTGCCGCAGTCTCAAGACTTACGGAGTCACCTTCTTCCTCGTCAAGGTGAGAATCAAGACATCTTCCCTTGATTTCTTCATGTTTACCTTCGCAGAATACAGTTTTTGCTCTGTTTCTTCTTCCTCTTCTTCTCCTCCAAACCAATAAGGTCAATGACCTGAACCAGACGTCTGTCACCATGGTTACTAGTGTTGGGTTACATCATGTTGCAATTTTATAGCAGGAGGGATTTAGACTCCTGTCACAATATATGAGTGAATGTGTCTGAGTAAGAATTAACAGAGCAGACCATATGTGAATGTGAACATCATGCATTTGCTTTGCAAATGTTACCGTTCTAGTTGACTTTGTTTTCTGTATGTCCATGAGGCTTGGATGCGAGTTTTTGTTGTTTGTTTGTTGTTGGAAATAAAACTGTAAACCTGGAAAATGTTCTTCCTTACAGGAGAAAATGAAGGGTAAGAACAAGCTAGTTCCCTGACTGTTGGGCATCACCAAGGACTCTGCAATGCTTGTTTTTGTTGTTTGTTTCTTTGTTTGTTGTTTGAAACTAAAACCCTCTATATTCTTGCTTACAGGAAAAGATGAAGGGTAAGAACAAGCTAGTTCCCCGACTGTTGGGCATCACAAAGGACTCAGTAATGAGAGTTTTTGTTGTTTGCTTGTTTGTTTGTTTCTTGTTTAAACTAAAACTACAAACTTTTTTATTTACCCCTGTACAGGAAAAGATGAAGGGTAAGAACAAGCTTGTACCACGACTGTTAGGCATCACAAAAGACTCAGTGATGAGGGTTGATGAGAAAACAAAAGAGATCCTGAAGGTCTGGCCCCTCACCACAGTCAGGAGGTGGGCAGCATCACCCAAGAGCTTTACACTGGTAGGTGCACTGTCTTACACATACATTGTACAATGTAGTATGTACTGACGTGCTTTATCTGAAATTTGGAGACTTTTGCAAAGCATTATTTTTATGATGGTTAAACAGCCATAATTTTTTCAAAACATTTCTGGATCTGGATAAGGATACTTGTTCTTGAGCCAAATCTTCATAAATACAGTACATTATATGTAAAATCTCTAACTAAGACTAACCAAAATATACTGGACAGGATGTAACATCCTCTTATTAAGTTACCAGATTGTCAGACATAAGATCCAAGGAATTGATAGTATGTACATTATTTTAGGTTTGTCTTGTCTATGTAGCATACTTTACGATGCATCTTGTATTTTGTTGTCTTCAGGACTTTGGAGACTATTCAGAGTCGTACTATTTGGTCCAGACCATTATATGTTACCATATGATTATAGCAACTAAATACTGATCTGTTGTTGGGTTATCATTACCAAACATACAGTATAGTGTACACTACAGTATAGTAATGTTAGTAGTAGGTTCACAAAATATTTTCCTGTCTACGGGACTTTGGAGACTATTCAGAGTCGTACTACTCAGTCCAGACCTAATAGTGACCTTTACAGTATAGTGTACAGTATAGTAATTTAGTAAGTTCATAAAATGTTTTGTTGCCTGCAGGACTTTGGAGACTATTCAGAGTCGTACTACTCTGTCCAGACAACGGAGGGAGAAACCATCTCACAGCTCATCGCGGGGTACATCGACATCATCCTCAGGAAGGTAACCATGACTACCAAACTCTGCGCTGTGATTGGCTCATTGAAATTTCAAAATTAATCTTGAGAATCTCTGTATGGAAAAAAAACACTGTCTCACCAGTTAGGCTTTCTTCAGTTTTGGAAAACATTTCTGATGTGTGTTAGAGTGTTTACACACTTGAAAACTGAATTGTTTACTGAGCATCTCTGAATTATTTTTTGGTCATGGACATGTAGAGAAGGAAAGTATGGCCACAAATTTGTACCATTTGTTCCTTGACATTAGACATAGTTGAATGTGATTCTTGGTTACTACATGTAGGTTGTGTTGCTAAATACTTGCAAAATCCTAGTCAGTTAATTCTGTAAGAGAATTGTTCTTTCATTATAAAGTCCCCATGAGAAATCAGCTGATGTGAATGTTAGTGGAAATTGATGATGCAGTACTCAGAGTAATGAAATATGAGCACTCAGGGCAGGGCAGGACATGTCATGGGTAATTGATTATAAAATGGATATCGATCAATATCTTACTACATGGTCCCTACAGCCAACATCTGGACTTTCTTTTGGTCATGTTGGTAGAAATTTGGCCAAAAAAATTGGGACCCCTTCCTTTGGATTTAGAAGAAAAAGGCTGATACATGTAAATCTATGAATGTGCTTCTGTTTTAGTAAACAAGGTTTGCATTAGCTTTCTAGGATTACATTTAAGAAATCTATAAACATTTGCAGCTCTTCTAATAAGATGGTATAGTTATCATGAAAGTTCATCTGTGTTGGTAGTAGTTATAGTAAAATGTTGAACTTTATTCCAACACAAGGAGTACACAAAGATCAAATTTTCAATTACCACTGTCGCCTTCATCAGGATAATTAATGACCAATCACTTCAGATCGTACAGTTATTCCTTCTTATAGTATTGATCAAAAGTCATCTTAAAGTTCCTGGCCGGAGTTCTAGAGTGCCCTGTACATGTTCTTTGCTAAAAGGAAAGCATAATTAACAGTCACCGTAACCAAACCTCATGGCCTTCCAATAACTCTACTCCAGGTCCACAGTACTTACTTTTAGATTAATCACCATCCACCACTTTAAGGTTATTAAATCAAGTGCACGCTACATGGACTTGCAAGCTGTTGGTACAGTGTTAGAGGAAGGCCACCAATTTAATTGACAAGCATGTGAAAAGAACGTACAAAGCTTATCAATCATTCCAATGTGTTGGCCCAAATCCATCCCTCCCACCACATTCTGTACTGGTCTTGACTTTGCATAATTATGCTGAGTGCCAGTTCCCTACTACTAGCCATCTACTTGGCACCCAGAAGCTTCAGTCTTGTCTAGACATCTCTTTGCCTTCAGCTTTAGAGCAGTGTCTCTTTCATCTAGACAGTTGATTTAAGCCTGAAAAGTTATAATTCTTGCTTACTAGCTCCTCTATTTGTCTCTGATGAAAGTGTAGGGTAGGAAAATAATAAAACAGTGACAGAAACAAGACTTTTCAGCAAAGAAGTTTGAAAAAGAGACTAGAAAATGAATCTGTCTTGTTTGCTGTGTTCGCAGAAAAAAGGGAAGGACCGGTTCGGACTGGATGGAGAGGAGGAGTCCACCATGCTGGAGGACAGCGTCTCACCTGCAAGGTAAGGTCACAGTTTTCAAGGTCACTGCTGTCAAGGTCATTTCAATGTCACTGCTACCAAGGTCATTTCAAGGTCACTACTACCAAGATCATCTCAAGGTCACTAGTACCAAGGTCGTTTCAAGGTCACTGGTACCAAGGTCGTTAGAAAGAGAATGGCTCGAGAAAGCAAATTTATCAGGGTTGGATGATGTTTTTGTAAAGAGACTAACCTTTTGTAACTTAAGGTAAAAGTTAACCAAAAGATATTGTTCCATGTTTGACCTTGGTGTGCCCCCCTCCCGCACCCAGGGCGACCATCATGCAGCACCAGGAGAACAAGGTCGGACACGTGAACGAAGGCTCCGTCGCCATTCCCGCCGTCATGCGCGCACACGATGGTAAGTTGCTATGGCAACAATATATTTTACAGCTCTGTCTTGCTGATGGTGGATTGGTCTTGCAGATTTCTAGATCCTGATTGGTGGAATGAAGTCACATGACTTGAAATGATTGAAATTTCTGGAATAATGTGTCACAATCACATGCAAAATGGATTGAGAGATATTTGAAGTGTCAGAATATAATATTGACTTGTATGAAAAATGCTTTGTTGCACATGTTTTGTCATTTCATGGCCTTTTGTGTTGTTGCAAGCTTTATTCACTATCTATCTATATATACTCCGCATTTAGCTGTCATTTTCTGTTGGAGTTTTAGGGCATTTCTTTCTTGAAACTTGATGTGTATGCCTATTGATGTTTGCTGTCCTCTGCATTTTGCTTCTACATGTACTTGCATTTCATGAAGCTTCTTAGAATGAAGTCTCAGTATTTGGAAAAAAACACTGGTCACTTAGGATTTGAAAAATTCATAATGAGGAAAGTGTGACATTTAGAAAAAAATTGATGCGCACACCCAGTATCAGATAGAAATGTATGACTTTGAAACTGTATATAATATGTATATAATACAAATGTGGTGTATTTGTATTATTGTATTTTAACTCCAGGAAGATTAGCTACATACTTGATTTTGTATGTCTTGTGTGTCGCTAATGGAGTTTAATAAAGCACATAAAGCACACATCTCTTTGAAGAAAGGATTTGAAGAAAGGTTTCCCTTACAAAAAAGTGACGAGTGTTTACACAATGGAGAATGCTTCTCTTGTTTGTTTATTTGTTTGTTTGTTTGTTCGTTGCTTTTGTTTGTTTGTTTGTTTTGCCAGTTTTTTCCAGGTCTCTGTCTGCCCTTCGCTGATGGCGTACACATTGTCATGTGACCAAATGTGAAGAAGAAAGTAGAATATTATATATAAGTAAAATTCATAAACTCAAACTATGTGTAGACAAAAAACTTGCATGTTTAGTTATCTTTGAGATGAAAATATCAAATTGGTATGCTGGTATCAAACATTTGAGGCTCTTTTGAGAAGTTGTTTTGACAAAGACTAAAGACAAAAAAAAAAAAACTTTTCTCTTGTTCACATTTGTTTGCATCTCGTGGCATTTTACTCCCATAACCACCTTCTTAACCCTCCAGTCCTGTAGTCCCTCTCACCTTAGACAAGACAAACACGGTCCAAGACGTAGTGGTGCATCTTCCCTCTGCCTTGAGAAACTTCTTCTGTCTTCTAAGACCCCCTTTTTCCTTATGCCAAAAAAACAGTTACTCAAGCAACTGGATATGATTTTGGAAATTGCCAGACGTTTCAGGTAGCATCCACTACCTTTCGTTGATCAGTAACACTGATTACATAAGTGCTGACAAAAGGTAGAGGAAGCTACAACATGTACCTGAAACGTCTGACCGTTTCCAAAATCATATCCAGTTGCTTGAGTAACTGTTTTTTAACGTATCTTATTACCTGGATGTCTAACCTTCACCGACTTTCCTCTTTCCTTCTTCACCTGTACTTATTTCTTGAGTATTGCTCCAAACTTTGACTTAGATCCTGTAGCAGTTCTTTAAGACACGAATGTAGCAGCTGCGTATGTCTTAGGAGATGTTAACAAGACTTACCATGGGGTCTTGAAGAAAACCTAATCTGTAATCTTTCCTTTAGCAGCATGCGGTATAGTGATGATCTGGAGTCCTCCCAACCCCCTTTAGACCCTCAGTAAACCATACTTCTATTAGCGACGTGTGTTTTACCTTGTACTAATGTACAAAATGTACTATGATCTCTCCTTTACAGACTACAGTTTGCAGAAGTTTGCAGAACTACTGTATTACTGATGAGTTAGACTGACATTAAGGCCACAAAAGTTTCATTTGTTGGTTCTCAATTTATTTATCAAAGAAAAGGGTGGTAAAACACAAAGCAAAACAGGCCTAGACATCCTATGATAGCCCCAAATGCTACCATTGGAGCTACAAAGTCAACAATCATACTAGGTTGGTTTGTAATTCAAGGATTGGATTTGTAACTTCAAAACTATCCCTTGATAAAAGGAAAAACTAGAACAACCAGAAAGACATGAAATGTCTTCAGCATTTTGTTTTTGTTTCACATCTCAGAAAAAACAAACAGGCAAATTTGAGAACCAAGAAATTAAATTGGTGTGGCCTAACTATTGCCCAAAGTTTGTTAACACCTGTATCAGTATAAAACATCTCAAAACGCATGAGTTGATTGATCTATAGATTGATTGATTGATTGATTGATTGATTGATGGATGGAGTCTAAACCGACTAACTTGCATGCCGTGTGACGTAGTATCCCTCCTCCTGTCTCCTCAACCAATAGGAGCAGAGTCCTACTCAACCGGTACGATGCCACGCGCGGAGTACGCCACCATCCGAGGGCAGATACACTCCGCTCACATGCCTCCTATTAACACTCAAGCCCAACAAGCTTTGATGGGAAATATCAGCTCCGGATTCAACAGCATCAGTGCGGCGCAAGCTGAGCTGGGTTCCAGGGCCGAGCTGCCACCTCTGGGGTCTGATCCAGTAAGTACAGTAACTACAGTAACTATGTAGTAGTGTAGTAACTTCAGTAACTATAGTTACTATCAGTTCTGGGTTCAACAGCATTAGTGCAGCGCAAGCCGAACTGGGCTCCAGGGCCGAACTGCCACCTCTGGGCTCTGATCCAGTAAGTTTTGTAGTGTGTTTACCTGAGTGTTAGAGGTGTTTGATACAGGAGATTATCTAGTAAAAAACAAGTGTGTTGTGGATGAAGTTTAGCACCAAGGACAGGTATGTTTGTAGATGATATTCAGCACCAAAAACAGGGTATTAAGTTTAAAACTTAGTCTGTTTTTCCTCAAATTGTTGTGTGGACCTGTATGTGGACAGAATTCAGCACCAAGGACAGGTATGTTTACTTGCGAAAGGTGTTAGATACTAATATAGGTGTGTTAGTGTGTGGTTGGAGTTCAGCACCAAGGACAGGTATTTTACCAGCTAGTATGTTGATGGTGTTCAGCACCAAGGACAGGCATGTCTGTGTGTATGTGTGTGTGTGTGAGTTTGTGTGAATATTGTTCAGCACCAAGGACAGGCATTTTACCAGCTAGTATTTTTATGGAGTTCAGCTCCAAGGACAGGTGTATTTACCTGTTCCTCACGTGTGTTTTAATTGTTTCTCACCTGTGTGTCTCACCTGTTTCTCACCTTTGCAGGCCTCCCTGAAGTGGAAACAGAACACCTTGGACGTCTCCAAACAGAACGTGACGTCGCAGCTCGCCGCCATGTCAGCCGCAACTGCCTCCGTCGTTACTCTCACATCAGGTGATCACCAGGACCCCCCCATTCACACCCTTCCTTCAACTCCCCCATTCACACCCTCCCTTCAGCCTCCACCACCAGCCACCCCCGCTACAGAGTGGGCTGGTCCAACCTCTGGCACTTTCCTGACAGATTTTGGATCACAAGATTCTGTAGAAGGGGTGGCAAGGGTGGAGGGAAGGGACAATTTTTTTTCCATAGAAAACACTTCGTGACACAAAGTATTTGCCAAGTCAGTTGCAACATTGTTGCTATTTTGTAGCAAACAATATTATTGTTGCAATTTGACATTGACCTGACTGTGGCAAAGTTGTGTCATGAACTGTGTGCCAATGGGATGGTGTCAAAAGTTTGCACATTTTCACAAACAAAATCACTTTGCTTGTGATTCAGACCTCCAGTCAAAGGGTAAAAGTGAAAGGTCAACATTTGTAGAACACAAATTTTTAATTCCACGAAAACATAGATTTTCTTTTTAGCAAAACGACTAATTCTACTCTATCTGAGGTGTGAAAAATTGACTATTTTGTGTGGTGTGAAATTTGGTTTTGTTGTAACAAAGTTTGATCTTAAAAAGGTAACTCCACTTTAACCTTGTGTGCCAGATCTCTACAATTTTAGACCCATCTTTTAAAACATAGAATTTGTATTTAAAACAAGAAATTTACAGTTATTTCAGCAGTTCTTTAGGCTAACATGCAATTTTTAGTATATCTTACTGGCACACAAGGCCACAATGTTCTGAAAGTGTGCTAACTCCCAAACCATCTCACTTCTTTTTTCTTTTGGTTTACTTTAATTTCTTTTGTAAAGTAATTTGTACTTATTTTAAGATATGTTTTGCATTGTTTGTTTAACTTATGACTTATTTCTTAAGTTGTTTGGTTAGTTTTTGTCGTCTTTCGTTGAGGTTTTAAACCAGTTTTGGTTCTGAGTTTTTGGGTTTTGGTTGGTGGCCATTGTGAGTTGGTTTTTGTTTTCATTGTTGGATTTTTATTGATTTGTAAAGCTTTTAAAGCTTCATCATCATCATTTAAAGCTTTGGGTCTTTGTTTCTGGAATTTCCTTCAATCTTTGGTTCAGTGGCATTTCTTTTAACAGTATTTACATTTATTACATTAATTACAATATTGTTTTAACTTGCTTTTTCCTGCATGCAAACTTATTATGCATGATGGCAACAGACGATTGGAAAAAAATAGGTATTTCATGCCTTTCAATTTTCTTTATTAAATGTTGGTAAAATTATGTATATTTCTGTTGACATCTATAACTTAGAAGAGAGTAATTTTGCAGCAAAATAGTAATTTTGGCATAAAGTTAAAGAACTATGCAAGAGAAAAGTGCATGTTGCATATAGTTAATGCATGCTGCTATAACTTGAGATGCACAACATTTGCCTTTTATGCTTTTTAACAATATTAAAAAAAAACTGCCAGTAGATTTTCTTTTCTGATATCTATGTATCCCCTGAATCAAGAGATCTAGCTGGCTCACCCCTTTTTCTCTCAAAAATGGGACATTCCTGTTAAGTTCTTTCTGCCAGTGCTTGCCTATTCTATTGAAACATGGGGGTGTGCAGGTAGATTTCTTGGTTTAAGGGATGTTCTTGCTTGCTATTGTATCTAGAACCGTGCATATCTAAAATCTGTGCCTCAATGAGTTAGTGTTATGATCAGACATAGTTCTGGATAGTCTTGCTGTATCTAAATCCAAGAACGTAGATTTGCTCTAGGTATGGTTCTGGATAAATGTGGACTATCCAGAATCGTGCCTGAGTGTGGTTCTGGATAGAGCACGATTCTGGATATGCATGGATATCCCTTCAAATAGTTCTGGATGAAGTAGTGTTCTTGCCTTGCTGTGCCTGACTGTACTTCATCCAGGAACGGTTCTGGAAAGTTCATGCATATGTTCTGGATAACACACGGTTCTGGATAAAGCCCGGTTCTGGATACACTACTATTCTTAATTGCCTTGCTGTGTCTGACTGTCTCTTGCTCCCCGCTAACCGCATGCCTCCCGGACGCTCCCTACACAGACCTGAAGCACCAGAAAATAGTGGATCGCTTCCGGGGTACTCCCAACAACATAAAAGGTGCACACTAGAAAATTAAGCTAGCCAGGTTTCAGTTTGTTTCACCCTTCTCATTGCTGTAAGTTTTGAAAATTTGTAGTTTAAGTTCTTGTATTAAAATTATGGTACTATGATGACAGTTGTATTGTTTCTGATGATTTTGGTATAAAAGTGAAAGCCTTGGATTTTTTGTAGAATTTTACTTTTGGTAAAAGTTGTGTTATACATAACTAATGTTCAGAAAGGTCTGAAGAAATGTCATGAGAGGCCCTGAAAAGGGATGAAACAAATGTTATTGGAGCAGAAGAAGGTTGACTTTTACTACTGGTTTTGTTTAAAGAAAATAGGGTGGGAGATTTTTGTTCAGTACAATGTATATAGAATGTCATGGTTTTGTTAAGAAGGTCTTCTCAGATTTGAGTTTAATCGTAAAATTTTTAGATATGATCTTTCTTTGAGCACTGTTTATCCGAAGAGGTCAGGAATATGCTGAAAGTATTGGCCAAGGTTTTTGACTTCCATAATCTGCTTTTGTTGTAACATTATTGCAGAAAAGTTTGCTGATGCTTTAATATAGCTGAGCTCTCCTTCTCTTCACTTGCGACCTTGCTGTGTCTCTAGTTTAACCTTGACCTTGGGTAACGCTCTGTAAAATTCTGGAAGATTTTCCCAAGATCTTCCTTTTATTGGTCTTGAGTTTCTTTTGGTACGGACAGTCTGTAAAATCTGGTCTGGATTTTGTTCTTTTATTTTCTTAAATAAAGAATTTTAACAAAATAAAAAAGATTTGGTCTGGATCCAAACAACAGAATTTCGTTTGTCGACAAAATTTTAAAAAATGTGCAGACGGTTCCAAGATGTTCCCCGACTTGATTGACACCCGGTTGCCATGGTTACAGGTGAGCCAGAGCAGACGGACTACACAGCAGTTGGATCCGCCGTCACGACGATTTCGTCCAATCTCACGGAGATGTCAAAGGGCATCAAGATGGTGGCCGCGTTACTGGAAGATTATGGGCAGGGCGAGCGGCTGTTGGATGCGGCACGAAACCTCGCTGGAGCATTTTCGGACCTGTTGAGCGCCGCCAAACCTGGATCTACTGAGGTAAGAACGGTTCTGTGGTGTCTGTGAAGTTTTGTTGGATGGATGTAGGACTGGTACAAATTAGGACAGTCACCTCTGTGTTCTTTGTAGAATTTCATTCTGAAAACACGTTTGAATTGTAGGCTTAAACCGTATAAGCGAAACCTTGATCTACAGAGGTACATGTAAGACCCCAAAAATAGTTTCATCAGATTGGTAGATACAGGATATAGGGGTTTTCTTTTACACCACCTATATTGTCTCTCACCTTGCTGACATTTACTTGACTGTCTGTCAGACACCTTCCTCAAAGCTTCTGACTGGAGTTCTCCTTCTCACTGCTATATGTAGCCGAAGTAGGTGGCACTTTTGCAGCAAGAACACAATCCCAAAACATGGCTGAGTTTAATGACTGGCTTATCACTTCCTTATCCAGACCACTTCTTTAATCCATCAGATTCTCCTGATGTCTTCTCTGTCTATGATTTTGGGATTGACAAAACCCAAAAAAAGCGCCACCTACATCGGCTACATATAGCAGCGAGAAACAGAACTCCAGTTAGAACCTATATTTGAAACTCCAGTTCAAACTCGTTCCAGACGTTAGAACCGTTTTTGTGGTGTCTACGCGGTTTTGTGTCCCTATTTCCGCTGCGCTTTGTTATGAGAGCTGTGTGTGAAAGTGAGCTGATCAGGTAATCAAATTTAAGGTGTCCCCAAGGAGAGGGGTTAAGAATTCTCACTTAAGAACCAGCCACAAAGAAGTGCACCTGAGACCGTTAAGATGTGTGTGATGGCTGGTAAGTTCTTAGTGTTTGAACTAAAGTTTCAGGTAAAATTCTTGACGTTCAGGTAAAATTCTTAAAGTTCTTACTGTTTGAACTTAAGTTTTGGGACTGTGTTTCTACTTTTCTCAGGGTTTTTGTAGAATTTTTTCTTGTTCCTTTACCATGTTGTCTTGACTCTGTGTATGTGTTGGGTGCGAGGGTTGGTAAGTTCTTAGTGTTTGAACTTAAGTTTCAGGTAAAATTCTTGACTGTTTTTCTGAGGGTTCTTGTACTAGACTTTTCTTGTTCCTGTACTGTGTTGTCTTGACTGTTTAGATGTTGTTTTGTTACCTTTCACTGTTTTCTTTCAGAAGTCGTGTCTCCTGTATTTTCTTTTTGTGATGCTCAGCATAGTTTTTTTAGGTCAGCCTTACAAGCCTTTAGTTATGCTACTTCTTTTTTTTTATTCTTGATTCAAAACTGGAACTGTGATTTCACCAACATTTTGTACCTTACTCTAAGACTTACATGTACATGTGTATATCTTTTTAAACTCATTTTCTATTCTTGCTGTGCTGCCTTGGGCACTGGAAAAACATGAAAACTAATTATGTATGGGTGCTGAAATCAGCATCAGCTTTAATTCAAAACCCTGGCGAAAACACGGGTTCTCTTCATTATTTACAGTACCTGAAGAGAAAATATTTTAAACTTTCGAAACGCACAGCAGACCTCCTGCCTAACACACAACGACGGTCGAAACCTTAGAAACTTTGACTAAATGACTTTTGCACCCTGCCGAACCACTCAGTATCAAAATAGCCCAGCAACATCTCTGTTAAGAGCGCTGAAATTGATGGCCAAATCAACCAAACACCGATGTTTAGTTATCTGTGGAAGTGAGTTGTATGTAAGTGGAACTTATTTGAACCAGACGGCTGCAATGTTTTACAGAAATCAATCATAATTTATTCAATTCAATTCAGAAACCACAGTTCCAGTTTTCACTGTACACCAATGTAGTTTTCCTGCTATGTTGCCTTTTGTTCACCTTCCATTTCCCCGCCAAATCGTTTATTCGCCAGGGAACGGACTTGTGGGAAGCCTGCCGCCTCCTGATGCTACGAGAACACGAATTCCTCGACCAGATTCAGCCCTACCTACCAGGGGTATAAACAAACAAACAAACAAACAATTGTTTATCTCACAACATGATTGTAAACAAATTCACCAAGGTTGTGGTTTAACCGTCTAAAATCCAGCATGGCACCGGAAAAAAGTAGCTGTTTCACCAACGTTGAATCTCTCACCAACAACAAAATTACTGACAATTTTTTTTACTGCAGACGTTTTGTTACAGCACTACACATGTAGCTCAACACTTCTTAAAAAACTCTGTAATTAACAGTTTAACGAGATTTTCTCTCCTTCTAGCTTATATAATTAGCAGGTTTTCTCCTAGGTTTTTAATCTCCAAGTACAGGTAGATGTCAGGCCTGTTTTGGATGTTTTTTTAGGCTTTTGTTGGGTTTTCTATTCTGCCAGCTTTTTTGTGTGTACACTGGCCTAACTCAAAGTAAAGCTGACAAAATTTCTAAAAAAAAACTCGAAAACAGTCCAGACCTCTGCTTGAAGAGTTTTGTCTCACTGAAACTTGAAGCTGTGTACAAATATTAACCACTTAGCTTCTTTGCTTTGTAGAAATCTTACTAGATCTTCTAGATGTTTCCAGCTAGTTTCTTTTCTCATATAAAATTAATGCAATATGATCTCTGCATAGCTCCTGTATTTGGTGTTGGCTTTCTCTCCTTGCTATTCTTAAACATTTCTTTCTTTTCCTTTTATGAAGGCAGGACTTGACTCTGATCCTTTGTTCCTTGTAAACTTCTCTGTCCCAGTGTTTAACAGAAGTCTTTCAGCTTTGATTGAATTTTTCTGTGTCCTACATGGTTGTACCTAAACCCAGACCAGTGTGTAAAATGTTTCACTTTCTAAGTCTTACTTGTGTGTTGTATTCAACATTTAGATCTATTTTTATTTCTTCTTTTTAGAACTTGTTTCTTTGGCCCTAATCATTATTAAGAATAAATTAAATTATTAAGCTAGATACTGTGTAGATTGCTGTCTTTTTAACATGTCCATGGATTTATGTTTACTATATTGTCTTTTATTTTGTGTTTATTTGTAGTTATTACCAGTTATAGAATTCTTAATTTTTGTTTGATTGTGACCTGATTTCTGAGTATATTGTGTGTTGTCTCTACCTCAATCAGAACCAAAGTAACCCCTTTGTCTTCTCTTTTCTCTCTCTCTCCATTTCTCTTCTCTCTCGTGCTGTCCTTCCCACCTCAACCCCCGTCTCCTGTCGTAATGTCCTCCTTCTGTGGTTACCATGGCAACGTTCCTCCTTCTGTGGTTACCATGGAAACAGCGCGAACCTGAGGTACTGGGGGAACCGCTCAAAATACAGATGTTTTCTCAAACAGACATCGGTTCTTGGAACACAGTCATCAGAAAAATAAGGATTCAGAGAAATTTTATTTTTTCAAGAATCAAATCATTAGAAAAGTTTTTTTTTTAATTCTACTGTTTTAAAGAATCATTATGAAACAAAATTTGGCTTGAACAATAGTAACCATTTACCTGATGAATTTGGTGCCATTTTATACAATGTTTTGGCAGTGACTGTGTTCCATGAATTAGGTGAAGACCACATAAAGACTTTTCGTTAATGTTATGTCAATTTCTTTCTATATTAACTACATTGCAAATCTTGTTTGTATAAAATGATAATGTTTGTTATAGGTTTGTAGATATAGAGGGTAGAAACTGACCTAACACAATCGTGGAATGACTGCATGTTGTGTTTGCTATTGTGTGTGACATTCAATCCTTTGTGGGTTTTATAACCAGTCTGATAGCATATAATGTACATGTATGTTAGTGTATTGTAAAAAATACATCAAGCAACAGTTACTGGATAAATTTTGTGAGGAGTCTGGTTCCAGTCAGCTTCCACTATCTTTCATCTGTGACTGAAAATGAGGGAATCTAACCAGTTGCTTGATTTATTTTTTTTTTGGTGTAAAATTTAATGTTCTGCCTGAATGTCTAACTTTTTTTGATGTACATGTATATAAAAATTACAATGTATATGACAGAAATGATTGCTATATTTGGAAACGTGAAGTTTTGAAGTTGATGTGTGTGCATGTTGTTTGGTGATACCTAACCCTGTTACATGTACGTATACAGCACCAGACCGGTTATTGTGTAGTTCTGTGCCTGTGTTGTTCCCTGTTTCCCACAAGTATGTACCACCGATGCATTGGCCATGATTCAATTACAACCAAATGTTCAAGGAAGGAACAGTACAAGGTGGAAAAAATATGTGTGGGGAATAAAAAATATGAGAAAGGAGGATAATATTAGAGAATGGACAGGCATGATACTAAAATGAAATGCTAAGAGAAACATAAAACAGAGAAGGCCTATATAGCTAGGGTGGAGAACAACCAGATTGTCTGGTGCCCCAACGGTCGAATAATTAGATTAGAAATAGAGGGGTTGGTGAGAATTTAGTGTTCAAAATATCGGGTCGGTCCATTACTGGACTTAGGGGGTTAGAGCTATGGTTTGCACTAGTCCAATCTTCCCACATTTGAAACAACCAAACAATGATCTTCCCACCTGTTTTTATTTGGACTAAACCATTTTTCTCACTCATAAATACCAAAAATTCCACCTACCTCTCAAACTTCAAAGTGGTACATTCTGAATAAGATTCTTGCTTAAAAAAAAAAAAAACAAGTCGTAGAGTTCAATCGTAGGGCAAAACTGTCTTCGTTGAAGTGGAAAAATTGTGCAGGTATTTTGTCGGTCTGTTTTTGTTCCACCTTACTGAGTAGCAAGGTGTTACCAGTTTCTGTGTTGAACGTGTCACTGTCTATTTGTGCTTATAAACCTGCATTTCTCCTCTGGTCTCTCAGTCACTGATGAAAGCTAGTGGATACTAGCTGAAACGTCTGACCGTTTAGAAAATAATATCCAGTTGCTCGAGTAACTGTTTTTTGGCGCATTGTCTATTGTGGGTTTTTTTCTGAGTTTGTGCCAAGAAAACCACTGGCATGCCCACCCTTGCCCCACTGTTGAGTCATAGACGAATAGTAACAGTGCCTACTGTTGTGGGCCACAGTAAATTTTTAGGGGGTTGTCATCAGTTCTAATTGGCAAGACAGAAAAATTCTATATCAAAAGATAAAGAAAAATTATCTACCCAGTAATTTCATGCTGTGTTATAAAGTTAGCACTACAGAAAGTGAGGTAGACTTTTGGTGCAAATTTCAGTAGTTGCCAGTAAAAATCGTCAATGTTTTGTTTCGAGTTTATGAACAAGAATTGCATCCTTATATTACTGGAAACATAAGACAAATGTGTTTTGACAAAGTGGGGAGGGCACTAGTCTCCACCAGACTCCTGTTGCAGGCTGAATAAATTGTAGAAATCGGCTTAAAAATGGGATATAATTGGCCAGAGGAGTTTCCCGGCCATAGAGGGTCCAATTGGCCGTGCGCGCAGGCAAATGGAGCTTCTCTGGCCGGCTACCTTCTCTGGCCAATTATATCCCCTTTTTAGGCCCATTTCTACGATTTATTCAGCCTGCAACAGGAGTCTGGTGGAGACTAGGAGAACGCAAGAACCAGTCAATAATTTAGTTTGGCCACAGGTCCTGCCTTCAACAACTCTCAAAAGTGTCACTGACGAAAGGTAGTGGATGCTACCTGAAACGTCTGACCGTTTCTGAAGTCATATCCAGTTGCTTGAGTAACTGTTTTCTGGAATATGAGAACCAGCGGATAATTTAGTTTGGCCCCAGGTCGTGTAGTTGGCCGTTACCCCCCAAATTAGTATTCAGCCGGTATGTGGTACAGAGGTGTGTCCTGATGTAATCACCCACCGCCCGGCTAGTTTAACACGGTCCACCCTTCCGTTTTACCGCATTGTCTACCAAAACAAGTATGGCGTACGAAGGGACGATAGATCCGTCGTGGTTTGGGGGACAACAGTCGAGTAAACGCATGAGAACAGCGGTGATACAGGTCCCATATTATGGGGCACAACATCAACAAGGGATTCAGGTGCACGTGGTGGTAAGATTCGAAAGGGTTTGAACGATGAGATTTGTGACTGATTTGGATTGTTGTTTCTGCTAGGGCCTTGTTGTCCGACTTGGTTCAAGACTTTTAGTACTCGTTCTAGGCTTGTGCTTTGAAGACTTAAGTGTCAAAATGAAACATTTTGGGTTGGAACATTTTGTTAAATTTTGTTCTACATGTCCCCTAGTTTAACACGGTCCACCCTTCCGTTTTAACTCATTGATAGATCCGTCGTGGTTTGGGGGACAACAGTCGAGTAAACGCATGAGAACAACCGTTTTACAACTTCCTTACTATGGGATACAACAACAAGGGATTCAGGTGGTGGTAAGAGTCGAAAGGGTTTGAAAAATGGTAGTTTGGGAAGTCTGAGATTTGGAGTTCAATTTGTTGTGTTTGGTTGTTCAACTTGTAGGCTTGTGTTTTGAAGACTTGAGTGTCAAAATGAAACGTTTTGTGTTGGAACATTTTGTTAAATTTTGTTCTACATGTCCCCTAGTTTAACACGGTCCACCCTTCCGTTTTAACTCATTGTCTACCAAAACAAGAATGGCGTACGAAGGGACGATAGATTCATCGTGATTTGCGGGACAACAGTCGAGTAAACGCATGAGAACAGCGGTGATACAAGTCCCCTACTACGGGGTACAACAGCAACATGGGATACAGGTGGTGGTAAGAGTCAGAAGGGTTTGAACGATGAGATTTTTTACTGATTTGGATTGTTGTTTCTGCTAGGGCCTTGTTGTCCGACTTGGTTCAAGACTTTTAGTACTCGTTCTAGGCTTGTGCTTTGAAGACTTGAGTGTCAAAATGAAAGGTTTTGGGTTGGAATAATTTTATTAAATTTTGTTCTACATGTCCCCTAGTTTAGCACGGTCCGCCCTTCCGTTTTAACTCATTGTCTCCCAAAACAAGCATGGCGTACGAAGGGACAATAGATGCCTCGTGGTTCGCGGGACAGTCGTCGAGTAAACGCATGAGAACAGCCGTGTTACAGGTCCCCTACTACGGGGTACAACAACAACAGGTGGTGGTAAGAGTCAGAAGGGGTTGAGAAATGGTAGTTTGGAAACTGAGATTTGCAGTCCTGTTGTTGTTTTCTGCTAGGGTCATGTTTTCAGAAAAAGTTTGGTTCAAGTACAAGCATGGGTATCAGTTTGTGGTAATAGTAGGAAGAAAATGCTTGTTTGAGAAATGCTAGTTTGGAATGTCTGAGATTGGGAGTTGTTGTTTCTGTGAGGGCCTTGTTTTCAGGCAAAGTCTTCTACACCAACATGGAGTTCAGGTCTGAGTAAGAGTTGGAAGGGTTGGCAAAGAGTTTGGAAATTGATTTACTGAAGATTTAGGCCTTCTTCTACATGTATGTAAAGTTTTCTGACAGACGATCGAGTTGGTAGTCTAATGGCTACTGTCTTGCTGTGGTTACCAAAAGATCTACTGGCAGTACGGGACAGGAAGTTGTTTTGAATTCAGACCAGTTGTTTACAAGTAGTGCAAGACTTGTTTTGAAGACTTGTTTTGAGTGTGGACTGAAACGTTTTGGATTCAAGCACTGATTTCATGGAGGGTCATGTTTGTTGTTGGCTGTAATCTGAAATGCCAATCACATTTTGGGGACAGCAGTAAGAAGTGACAAGAGTTGTGTTAGGAACAGGCATAAATGGACTATTGTAGCTGTAAAACAAAAATTTTAATTCAAAAATACTTTTGTTACAAAATCATAGTACGTCTGTTTAATTCTGAACTTAAATTTCATGTATAGATGATGTGACAGATGGCTACTCTAGTTTCTAAAAGACAACTTAAAACTGGTTTCTTAAACTGCTTAGAAGTTTCATTCAAGGATTGTACAATTCATAATGTTGTTGGTATGTACAGTTATGTACATTTAAGTGGCTGGAAAGGTTACGGACAAAAGGTTGCCGAAGCCCACATCATTTTGCCAAGTGAAGGTGGTTGTTACGTGTCATTACCTGGATCTCTCAGGTGTTTAACAAGGTCTTAACAAAAGTGTGATGTTCTTACTTGTCAGTCAACTTTCACTAGTCAGGATCGTACATGTAAGAGACAGGCAGTTGTCTATAGTTGTTTGAGGCTTAGTTAACTTGGGAGGTAATGTTTTCTAGAGTGTTCTGTCAAGTTTGTGTAGTTTATGAGTAACTGTTGGTATTTGGACAGAACAGTTTAGAATTCTGAATGGAAAGAATTCACAGGGAGAGATTATTTTCAGTCAAAGTGTTCAGTTTGAGGAAAGTTATCAGAAAATTCTTTGTCAGTGATACCATTAGATTGATTCTACTACCAGACAACAGCTGCTCAACAAGCTAGGGATTGACTCTAAGTCACTGTAGGTTTTTCTTAAATCTTGGGCCAAGGAATCCTCCCCTAAAGCAAAATAAAATAGATTTCAGGTTTCCAAAAATAGTTTCACTAGGTTGGTAAAGTATTATAGGATATAAGGGTTTTTTCTACACAACCAAATATTCAGATTTCAGGTTACCGGTATGAAATGTTAACATGTCGACACATATCAAGCAGCTTGTTTTTTCTTTTTGTTTACCTGTTGTTGTTTGTTGTTTCCGCAGCCCCGTCAAAACCTGCTGACGGCCGCCGGAAACATTGGAGAACATGGCCGAGAGGTTCTACACGAGATGGGGGAGGTGGACACGGACCCTCGCTTCCAGGTAAAACTTACTTCAAATCTTCTTACTTCTTCTTTGTTCTTCCTTAACCTAACCCTTCAAAAACACCAGGTGTTAAGTCTATAAAAATTGGAAGAGGTTGACATGCTTCCAGGTAAAGCTTACCTCTTTGTCTCCTTCAAAAAGCAGCAGATCTATATATCAAGCTAGTCTTTGGAAAATTTCTTTCACTACTTACAACAGTCAGTGTAAAAAAAAAAACTTCTCTGACTTCAGCAAAACACTAAACTTCTGTTCTAGGTATTACAACTTTTTTTTCTTCTTCACTGACCCACGGTTTCAGGTAAAACTGTATTCAACCTTCTTGCTTACAGCTAATAAGCATTCAATCTTTTTATCCAACAACATGTCCAAGGTTCAAGGCATAGTGACTTCTTTTTTGTCTACCAATCTCCTTTGAAGTATCTGTGTTCTAAAACAGCAACAGTGATTGGGTCTAAGCAGTTTTCCCAGTGTCTGCAAGCTGACAAAAACAAACAGAGTTTGACCTGTACATGTGTTCTGTAGTGTGAGGCAAACTGTGCCCTGGGCAGTCAGGGATGGGTAAGTCTGATTGACATTTGTCTAGTACAACAAAAGTCTCACATCCGATTCCTGGATCACTTCAGAGTTGAGTCACGACACTACACACACAAACGGATATCCTGTTGGCATATTTTGATTTTTTTTACTGATAAAAAGTTTGACACCTGTTTGGCATTTCAGTCACATCAAATACAATGAAAGTCTTTTCTTACATGACAAAACAGATATTTGGCTGCCACCTTTTTTTATTCAGTTAGGAACCTCTTTCCTTTCGACTGACGTTGTTCTTACTTTGATTGACAGTTTAATAGGACAAGAGTTTGTAATAGTTCCAGGCTATGGCAGTAAAAGTGTGGCAGAAATCCTTGAGACAAAATTGACCAGTGTAATTAGCATGTTAAGCACGTGTAACTCACAGAGGAAAAAAGCCTGGGGTCACAAAAAGTGGTTACAAGGCCAGGTGTCCCATGAGTTTTGGGATAAATTTTGCAGAAATTTGGGGGGCTTTTCCAGAGCCAAAATCAAGGAAGTGTGCCTGATCAACTAAAGAAGGGCTAACATTCTGATGTTGAATTTCTCTGTTGAATGTCCCAAAAGTGTCACAAAGAGACTTTTTGGTTGTCGCTGCCTAAATTTCAGTGGTCAGTGGCCTACGGGACACCATTAATTTTGAGCCCTGAGAGGTGGTCTCTTGTACCAGTTTGGCTCTATTTAGATCACTTTCTGAGATTTTTGGTGTGATTTTTGGTAAAATATTTGAGACAATTTTGTTTGGCCAGGGTACATGTAATCAGCATGTTAAGCACGTGTAACCCTCAGTAGAACTACTAGAAGTGCCTGGGGGTTTAGGGTGGGCTCCGGTACATACATGTACATGTGCGTCATTTCAAAGGCTGACCTTTCTTATTTCCAAACCAATAGGTCTAAATTGTTACTTATGTACACGTGATGTTAGTGTATCTTATTAACTTGTCAGTCGCTCTTAGCTTTGAGATGAAAAATATTTCTGTTCTTGCTAAGGCTTAGATCACTTTTTGCAAACTTTTCATACTGATTCCCATACAGTCAAAACTGCCCAATCAGCTAAGAAGACCACTCAGATGACCAATAAAATCTGGTCTATGTGGACAGGTGGTCACTATAGACAGGGTTCGTACTGCTTGTGGCAGTCACATTGGCCAAAATGTGGTCACATTGGCCAGGTGGTCCTTTTGCAGAGGTGGTCACTTGAACAAGTTTGACTGTAGTGAAATTCCTTTGTAAAATTTTTATGAATGACTGACTTGGAAGCTATTGTCAAAAAAGTTCAGGACATTATAAATTTGTGAACTTTCCTACAGTTGTATCAGAATGATGTCTAGCAAAGCCATTCAGTCCCCTTCCCCCTAAAAAAAAACAAGTTTCAACCATTAATGACTTTGTCTACCAAATAATCATCCCCAAAACTACAGATGAGACACTAGATTGTACATGTTAGGTGAACAGGGTCATGTAATAACATGTTTTGGGTGGTTAAACTTTTGTGGGCAGGTTCACAACCACTTATCATGGCTCACCCTCACTTATGATGATGACTACGCATTGTTTGGGAAGGCGTCACCATTCTAGCAAGACACGCAACAAATATTAAAGTTCATCTGTGTTGGTAGTAATCATAGTAAAACGTTGAACTTTATTCCAGCACCAGGGTTATACAGAGATCAAATTTTCAGCGACCACTGTCACCTTCATCAGGATAATTAATGACCAATCACTTCACAACGTGATTTCACCAGAGTTACGGTTTACAAACACGTGACCTTATTCACAAGACTAAATAACAATCAGAAATACTTTGTTTTAGCTTGTAGAAACAGCAATTAAACAATTCACGGGGTATTTTGATGACTTTGTGATATTTTAAAAAATTTGAATCGTCAAAAGTGTTGTTTTGGCCACGGTAGGATTTTTTTTTAAATGGTCACGTACACAATCATGTGAACTTTGTAAAGCTGTCAGACTTGTTCTATGTCAAAGTCTGATGATTCATGAACAACGTTGTCGAAAATTTTACGTGCGTCACACTGAAGACAGCCAACATGGGGGTGCAGACTGAAATTGTAGGTATTTGTGGAGAAGGCTAAGAATGTAGCGAGTAAGGCGGAGGATTGTGGCAAACACTATCTAAAACCTTGTTTGTTTGTTTGTTTGTTTATAAACAGGATGCCCTGATGGCCCTAGCGAAGGCTGTAGCGAACGCGACCGCTACACTCGTGCTGAAGGCTAAGAATGTAGCGAGTAAGGCGGAGGACCCGGCCATGCAGAACAAGGTCATCGCCTCGGCAACACAGACGGCACTGTCCACGTCTCAGCTGGTCGCCTGTACTAAGGTCTGGTGTTTGTTTGTTTGTTTTGTTTTGTTATGCAACAAGAAAACAAAATAACTTGACGTCTGCATAAAGGTCTGATGTTGTAAACTGTCTGTTTTGTTTATTTAGAGTTTTCTTTGGTACAGAATCAAAGCAACTGGTCGCCTGGTTTGAAGTTTGAAGTTTTCAAAAGTTGTGTTGTGTCCAGAATCATGCTTGAGCATAGTTCAGGATAGTCCACAGGTATCCAGAACTGTGCTTTATCCAGAACCTTGCTCAGAAGCCATTCAGGCACAGAACTAGATAGGCACAGTTCTAAAAGATTAAAGCAGAATAGAATAATTTCTTTACCAGTGAATTTATAGCTGTATAATGTATGTACATGTAGCATTTCACTTATAATTCTTTTTACTTGAAAAACCATCATGCTTCACATTAATTAAGTATGGCCCTATACATTTACCTTTTTAAAATGTCTAGTTCAAAGTTGAAGATTACTAAACTTTAAGATCCCCCCCCCTTCCTCCCCAGGTGGTAGCCCCCACGATCAGCCACCCTGCGTGCCAGGAGCAGCTGATCGACGCGGCCAAGCTCGTGGCCAAGTCCGTCGAGAAAACCGTCGACTCAGCACAAATGGCAACCCAGGAGGAGTTCCTTCTGAAAGACCTTGGAGCTGCGGCGACCCAGGTCACCCAGGCACTGAACGAGCTTCTCCAGCACATCAAACTGGCTTCAAAGGTTTGTATGGGGGAGGGGGGCATCTCAAGGTCACACAGGTGTGGTGTTTCAGCAACTTTCTGCAGCAGTGTCATCGATAAAAACAGGCTTCCATGGTTTGTATGGGGGAGGGGGGCATCTCAAGGTCACACAGGAGTCGGATTGGTATTGAAGGGTGTTTCAGAACAACTTTCTGCAGTAGTATCATTGAGAAAAACAGGCTTCCATGGTTTGTCTAAGGTCGGGGGATTCCAGGGTGTTGTAGGGGAAGGGTTGAACATACACACAGTTGAGCTGGACTAGAAATATGCACTCAAGATGCTTTTGACTGCTGGAAAACTTTGCTGCTAATATCTAGCAACCTGTAGTTGGGGAAAATTTTTGTACTTGGTTGTTCTTCTCAAAGGGGTCAGATCTTTGGCAGCCATTTTTTTTGTGTGCGGAACTCCAAAGATGCCAAAGACTGACCCCGTTTCCACGGTTACCCCATCCATCCAAAAGAAGGCGAAGAAGCCGGAGAAGATCGAGGAGCCATCTCCATCAGACCTGGAGGAAAGTACCACTGATGAAGAGAAGCAAGACTCAGAGAAGGAAGATGCTGAAGATGAAGAGGAGAGGAGGAGGAGAGAAGAGGAAGAAGAGAGGCTGCATCGCGAAAGGGTGATGGGAGATCTGAACGCGGCCGTGAGGAATGTGCTGGACCAGCTGGGCCCGGAGGAGCCGGTTGCCGGGGGTGATCTGAACGACGCCGTCCGCCGCGTCATGCAGACGACCTCCGACCTGCTCAGCGAGATCAAGTTCGAGCCAAAGGTTGGGCGGAGTGGCAGATGACCTCTCACCTACAACCTGCCATAACAGTGTGGAATGGCAGATAGATGACCTCACCTATGGCCTGTCGTACGTGGCATGGCTGAGGAACTCTCACCTATGACCCACCCTAACAATGTGACATGGCAGATGGCCTCTCAACTATGACCTGACCTGAACAACTTTCTTCAAGCTTGATCCTAACCACAGTGTAGTGTGGCAGATGACCTGGCCAGGATGGACTCCTTTGTCCTGCCTTAACAATATGGCATGGCTGATGAACTCTCACCTATGACCTGGCCCTAACATGTGTCTATGAGTCTTCACCTTGTCAACATTTAAGAACCCTTTTTCAGTGTAGTCAGGTACAGTCATGTCTAAGGATGTTGTAAGTTTACGCCTTAATTTGATTTTCAATTATGAGCTGCTCTAAGCTCCAGGTAAGCCTAATATAAAGATATAGATATTCTGCACTAAACAACTATTTCTCAAATTTTAAAATCTTTTGATAAGCCTTCTTGTGGTACAGTTTTTGTACCACATGCCAAGGCTGACCAGGTTACATATTCCCCCCACCCTGAAGCCTGAGGAAATGGAGGATTCATCTCGAGTTACCGCCACCGTGGTGACCACCCGAGAGACCGTGGAGGTCGGGCGCCGGAACGAGGCTCTTCTGGCCGAACTTGACCTTGTGGTTCGGATGGCGATGGATCAGATGTCACTCGGAGACGATACCGGAGGCTCGGACCTGAACGACGCTGTGCGAAGGGTGGTCAGGAGGCTGAACGACCTGATCAGTGAGGTCAAGTTCGAGGTAGAACTTCTCAGTGTGAAGAGTAGATGAAAAGTAGAGATGTCAACCTCCTTTGTGCTAAAACTTTCACCTCTTTGTTCAGCAGTGAAATTAAGTTTCAGGTTTATGTAAAGTAAAGTAAAGAACAACAGTAGAAAAACTAAAAACCTCCTTTAAGTTTGTGCTCAAATGTCTCTGTTTAGACTTTGTATAACATCATGTGACAACATTGTGCACACTCTCTTCATCAATGATACATGTACAGGGACATTTTCATGTAACTTTGCTCATTGTCATCATGTAACTTTTTCTGATAATCACTCTTCTCTGCTGACTTCTGATGTAACCAAGACAAGTCAAGTGTGCCATTAGCAGAAGGTTTCATCCTCTGGTAGTTGTGTCCTTGCTGTAACAGAAATAATTATTATTCTGTTTTGTACCTTAATATAGTGTACATGGACTATGTATCATGTTTTAGGAGAAGTTGTATAATAACTTCTTAAACTATCTTGTAACAATAAAATGAAGTATTTAACCGACTTTGTGTGATTCTTTTACTGTGCTAAAATTTCTCTCCTTCCTAATTCTAGGTTTATACATTCTGTTATACTATTTAGGAATTTGTGGTAGTTTCTGCTGACACAAGATGTTGAAATCAGTAAATGTAATAACTTCCACTTTGATACATTTGGTGCCAAACTGGCAATGTTTCTTGTAACTTTTGTTGTATCTCCCATTGCAAACCAGTGGTAATATCTACATGTTTTTACTGTTGTCATTTATTCATCTGATCTTTGATCTGATTTTCTTCCAGGCAAAGGGAGGAGAGCAGTATGAGGACCACTGTGACACCATCATCTCTGCCTCAGACAGACTCTTCGCTTCCATGGGCAACGCCTCAGACATGATTAAACAGGCCAAGATACTTGCAGAGGTAACTTAAAACTGTCTTAGAACAGTGCAAAGAAATGTTATTTAATCCAACATGTTTTACCAAGGCACTGGCAGAGGTAAAGAAATGTTAGAACCATGCAAAAAGAACTTGATGATAATGCAATTCTAGCAGAAGTGAGGAAAAGGTTTCCTTTGTCTTAGAAGTATGCTAAAAGAACTAAACTTTAAATTCAGTTTTAGCTTACAGAAAGCAATTCTTCTAGTGGCTGTTGATTAAAGGACAATGTACAAAATGTATATTCAGGATACTGTTTCTGACTTAGGGAGAATGAATGCTGTTTCAGCTTGAACTCCTGTCCATTGCTTCTAAATGAACCATGCATGATAGAGATACACATACCTATAATGTATGTATGTTCAGTGTAATTTTTAGGTTATCTAGACATATCTGACCTGTCTTTTTCCCCCCAGGCGACGTCACATTTAGTGAACTCTATAAAAAGCAGTGCCGACACGACAGACGACACAGACTCACAGAAGAGGCTGCTGGGAGCCGCTAAAGTCCTGGCCGACGCCACAGCAAGGATGGTCGAGGCTGCTAAGGTTGGGGAAAAATCGGAGAAAAAGCCTGACGATTTTTTTCACCAATGTACACTGTAGATACTCAAAAGTAAACTTTTAGACCACAACAACTGCTATGGTAAGAGAACACAGAGAAAAAAACAATGGTTGATTTTTTTTTGAGACACTACAACCAGAATGATGATTTTTTTTACATCATCGGATACTCCAAAATAAAAGGTCTGTATATATATATCTTAACAGTAGTGTAATGTAAAGTATGAAGTCAAACACAGATTGCTTTGTACAATTAGACTCAAGTCCACATTTGAAAACTAAAACTTTCAAAATTGTGTCAACAAATAGAACCTGATAGAAAATGTCTAATGTCATTTTTGATAGCGAAAAAAGTCAACTTGACAATTTTTTATGAAACTCATTTGAACTGCAATTGCCAACACAAAATATTGGACTTGTCCAAATTTTTGACTGTACAACTCCAGGCTTTTTCAAGGAATGAGCAATCCTGACAATTTGTGTTGGCAAATTGCAGTTCAAATGTGTGTTGTACTGATTTATACAAACACAGATGATTGACAATTCCTTTATATAAAATTTAATGAAATAATCTTTTGTCTTGTCTTACCCCAGGGCTGTGCGGTGAACCCGCATGACTCGGATGAGCAGGAGAACCTGAGGAAGGCAGCCGAGGACCTGAGAGCAGCGACTAACGCTGCTGCTGGGAATGCCATCAAGAAAAAACTTGTCAGCAAACTGGAGGTACGGGCCAGATAGAGCCCTAGGCCCTGGGGGCTTGTCACACGATGGGCAAACATTCTGTAAAGCCATGCTCATCATAAAAACTGTCAGACATTCTTAAAGACAGTCAGCACTGTCTTAGCCTACACCTTTGCCTATACCTTTCTTCATCCTTGCATCTGTTTTTTCTTTCAATGTTATGTTTCCCACCTTTCTTGAACTTAGTAAAACCACCCAACCCTTCCTGTTGCCTGTTCTCTCCCCAGACCACAGAAGAGACAGTAACCGTACAGACCATGGTACCTTGTGCTCCTTTCTCCTTTCTTTCATTTGTCTTTGTTGCGTTGTTTATCAAGCTTTTTCCTTATTTTCTTGCAATGTTCCATCTGTACTGTGTCCTTTCGTGTTCCATAGAACAGCCGTGTTCCATAGAACAGCAATGCTCCATAATGCATATATAGAACAGCTATGTTCTATAGAACATTTGGATTCTGTGTTCCATAGAACAACCACGTTCCATAGAACATCTGATTCAGATTCCATAGAACCATGTTCCATAGAACATCGGGTTCGCTGTTCCATAGAACCATGTTCCATAGAACAACCATGTTCCGTATATAGAACAGCCATGTTATCCTCAGTTCATCTGTCTGCCACCTTTCTGTTGCTGCTGTTTTTCTTTACCTCTTTCATTTCTTCTCTCCGTCCCAACTGACCTTCACTAAGGTCAAGCTGACTCACTACGACAAAGATCAGCTGAAAAAGATTCTTGAGGAGCTTCAGGTGTTCGTCTTAAGTTTCCTTTCTTCGAGTCTTGCTTCCCCGTCTTTAAGTTGTATCAAGTCCTGTGTGTCTTTATCAGTGCTTGTTTCAGCTTTTTGTGTCTTTTCCTTTTTGCATCTTGTGTGTCTGTCCTGCAATCACTCATACTGCCCCAACATGGACATTGTAAGTTCAACACTACTGACTAAAGAATGTCTTGTATGAGCCCATGCAGTATTTACACTAAGTAAGGATTGTATTTTGCTTTGGCATCCATTCAACAATTTGTATTGGTTTCTGGAAAAGTATCTTTAAGAATCCTGAACTTTCCAACAATCACAGTTTTTATAAGAAGTTTGTGTAGCAAAAAAGGATCTCAATTTGTTAAGATCAATTTCTCTTATATTTTCTGTTCTTTTAACTTATCTTTTCTGCAGAATGCAGCCAAACATGCAGCAGCCGTGGCGACGCAGACCATCGCAGCATCACAGGCTGCAGCCAGCTCCAACAAGAACCCCGCTTCACAACAACAACTCGTCACTTCATGCAAGGTAACTATGCTACAGTAGTGGCAATACTTAGTTACAATGTGTTAAACTTCTAACAAGAACCCACGGCTTCGCAACAGCAACTGGTTACTTCATGCAAGGTAACACCATACAAATGGCTACATTAGTGGCCACAGTTACAATGTTGCAATGTGGGAATGTCCCAAAAAGAAGCCTACATTGCAACAACTACTGGTCACTTCTTACGAGATAACATGATACAAATGGCTACATTAGTGGCAACATATACATACATTGTTGCAATTTGTGAAAGTTGTGACAAGAATCTCACATTGCAACTGGTAACATCCTACAGAATATGACAAAAACCACCTTGCATGCCATTGGATATAACAAAGAACCAAATGCTAAAAGAACTGGTGTCCTTTGCTACATTTGTTGCTAGTTTTAAAAGGTTTGTTGCTACAGTTAGTGGCACTTATTTAAAACCGTAGATGCTCTACAGGGAAACATATAGTCAGGGTGTGGCCCTTTCTAATCAGTAGGGAGAATCAAGTGATTCATCACCTGTCATATGGAAACATAACTGCCCATTTTAATCACAGTTCCTGTCATCAAACTCTCAAACGGTTCTGACTAATTCTCCCTACGTTAGGTGGGAACAAGGTTTCCCTCTTAGACAAATTAGCTTTTTCCTCTCCCCTCAATTTGTGGTTCGTCCCGAGGGTGTTTTGGGGGGAGGCAAATTGATTTGGGAATTGATTTCTTAATTGTGTGAGGAGATTGGTACGACCCAGAGGACAGTTCTGTACAGGAGGGCAGGGAGGGAGCAGAGAAAGGTCTGGTGGTTTTTGTGCTTTTGCCAAAATTGGTCGGTTTTCAGGGGTTCTTTTGTGCTGAATTTTTTTCTAGCACTCTGGTTAGTTTTTTTTTTATGTAGAATATGGTATGTAAATTGCTGCTGACTTGCTGTTCTTTTGTGTGGGACACTTATAAGGACAGGGATACAGTCCCAAAGGGTCTGGTGGATCTTGTGTTTTTGCCAAAATTGGTTGGTTTTCTGAAGGTCTTTTGTGCTGAAATTATTTTTTTCTAGGAGTTGCTTTTTATTTAAAAATTGTTCGGGTAGGATTATGAAGTATGAAGTGTAAGCTGCTTTTATAAGCTGCTGAATTGATGTTAGCCCATTGGTGACACTTGCAGTAATGAACAGACTGTGTGAACTGAATACTCTTCTACTCCAACCAATGTTCTGCTGTTTTAGGCTCTTTTTACTTAGTTGACAGCTAAAGATGTAGGTATTTTTTCTTGCTGCAATACTTTTGGGATACATGTACTTTTTGTGTTATGTGTACCTGTCTTAAAATTGACTTGCTGTAATCATTGTGTGTTTGTCATTTTACATTTACATGAAGTTGGAATGCATTATTCTGTCACAGTACATTCTACTGTGACAGATTTTTTCTTGACCAACAACAGTTTTGACATAGAAAATGTGTCACAGTGGTATTTAAGCATACAAGGGAGCTTTTTTCTACTATTGTCTAACAAACAGACAGTCCCAGCACACAACTAACCTTTTTCTATCATTTTCAAACCCTTTTCTATCATTCCAGCATGTTGCAGACCACATCCCCAGGCTTGTACAGGGTGTACGGGGAAGCAGAGCCCAGCCAGACAGTCCCTCTGCACAACTACTACTCATCAATGCCTCCCAGGAGTTTATTTCACCTGCCAATAACATGAACTCAGCGGCCAAGGCTGCAGTACCGACCGTTTCTGACCAGGCGGCCTCGATGCAACTGTCCAACTGCTCCAAGCAGCTGGCTCAGGCACTGGCCGAGCTGAGGTCCGCTGCACAGAAGGTTTGTTTGTTTGTTTGTTTGTTTGTTTTATTTGTAGCTGACCCAATAGGGTTATGAAGGCAGTTCAGGTACATTGCCTAACCCATACACCCACACCAGGAAGATATGTTTTTGCCCTGTTTCCTCTTCTTCTTCTTCTCTAAACAAATAAGATCAATGACCTGAACCAGATTTCTGTCACCATGGTAACTAGTGTTGGGTTGCATCATGTTGCAATTTTATAGCAGGAGGGATTTAGACTCCTGTCTGACCATATATATGAATGTGTTTTGAGTAAGAATTAACAGAGCAGACCATATGCAAACTAAGGTAAACATTATTTATGTCTGTATGCAAAAAACTGTGACTGTTGGACTTTGGGAATAGTTCTGCAAACTCCATTTTTTACCAAAAATAATGGCATTATTATTTTCATAATCTAAACAAATAGACTTAACATAACAACATCAAATTTATTTAGACGCACTGATATTCATCTAATTTATCTCCCCTGCAAATTTGAGCCATTTTGAAACATGTATTGTCGAGTTATTACAAGTTTTATTCAGGACCTAAGTGGTAGCTAGAATATGCCCTGGGCCGCCTTAGCTCTGCTGAGAATGCCCCTACTGTACTTGGTGACAGTGAGTTCCACTCTGCGATAGTTCTAGGAAAGAATGAGTTTTTAAACACCTCAAACCTTGGTTGATAACTCTGGTACTTGAAGGCATGACTATGAACTTTCAAGCTAAGATTTTTTGTGAAATTTCCCCCCTGTGTGTCCAGGCCCAGGATGCGTGTGGCCCGTTGGAGATAGACTCCGCGCTGGACACGATCCGTCAGCTGGACTCTGACCTGGTGGAGATAAAGAAGAGCGCCGCGCAGGGACAACTGGTCCCTCTACCGGACGAGTCGGTGAGAACATCCCTTCTACAATCTTTCCTTCCTTCCATCCATCCCTCCTTTGCTTTTTCTTCTTCCCTCTATCATCATTCAAGATCCTTGATTATTTTATATATCACTTCTTTGCACTGCTGTTCTTTTTTTATCATTACTCTTCTTTTTTCCCCATTTTGACTTTCTTGCTCCATCCTGAAGTCTTTCCTTCCTTCCTTTAGCCATCCTCTTTTTGCTTTCTTCCCTCCTTGATCCATTTTCTTTTTCTTCTTTAATATCATTTTCTGTAAGACACACTTTACCATTCTGTCTGTCTTTCTTTGCTTTTTTCTTAGATTTCTTCTTTCTTGTTCCTTTCTTCCTCCACCAGTTTTCTATATTATTGCTGTCCTTTGTCTCTTTTGTGTTGGTTGTCTTGTCGTAAGACAAGGGTCAACACTGGTCACTTTAGGATTGGAAATATTTTTCTTTTTCCAAATTTCATAGCACTTTTTTGCTTGGACTTGTTTGGAGATCCTTTTCAAAACTGTTTCTTGATGAAGATAGTTTTACAAGCAGTATGCCATTTTCCTAATTATTGTTCCAGCTGGCATACATGTAGTTTTTACATATAGTCACAAGGAAATTCGACTTTTTAAACTTGCAAAACCCTCCAAATTTCCACTGTTTTCTTATCCAAATCTAAAGTGACCAGTGTGGATGTAGTTTTGTTCTGTCTTTACTGACTTTTCCAGTTTTTCTCTCCCAAGTTCGAAGGTTGCCGAGCGACTGTTTACGCTTGTGCCAAGCAAGTCGGAGCAGCCATGGCACAACTGATGAAGGAAGCAGCCCAGGTATAAACAACAACAACAACAAACAACAATAAACAGTAAACAACATGGGGACAACAACAACAACAAATAAGCACACACTCAGGAGGCTTTTGTTTAAAGTTAAAACTTTAGATCCAACACAAAAAAATTCTCTCACCTAGAGCTTTCGACCAGTCACTCTGGTCTTCCTCAGTAGACTGACCCAGTGAGGCTTGTCACGTGGCTTCTTTGAAGTGTGATGTCAACACTGAGTCAGTCTACTGAGGAAGACCAGAGTGACTGGTCAAAAGCTCTAGGTGAGAGAACGTCTTCGTGTTGGATCTAAAGTTTTAACTCTAAACAAACAAACAAACACACACCCAGGAGGCTTTCTCATCACACACTAAACTTTGCATGTTCCTGACTCAACGTTCTGTTTCAAAAGTTTCCTGTAATCTTTCTTTCTACCAAAGAGTTCTAATTTTTTGTCTTAATCTGAAAAGCAAAATCTTGGGAGACTTATACGTTAACTGGTTGCTCATAATTTAATACCTGGCATTGCAGTAAATCAAAAACACAAGCAAATCTTAGCATGAAAGTCTTATCCTGGAAAGTTTTGAAACAGAAGTTTGAGTCCACTAACTTGTTTTCCCATCACGTACTAATCCTCACCCTTTGACTGATAAACCGGCTTGTTTCCAGCAGTGTTCATGCAGCTTTGTGATGGCAGAATGTAGCGGAGCCTTGCATGTGTGTGTTGTGACTCTCATCATTCCAGATGTGCTAGGAGCTTCTCATGCTGAACTTTCTACATGTGTGATCCATGGAATATCCATGTTTGATCCAGATTTGATCCATACATTGTGATCGAAATGTGATCTAAATGTGATCCATGCATTATGTAACTGTGTGATGCTTGCAAGATCCATGTTCGATCTACATATGATCCATCACTGTGTGATCTATATAATCATGTCCAAATGTGATTCTGTGTGATCTACACTTGATCCATGGTTTGTAGATCCATGTGTGATCTATATGTGATCCAAATGTGTGATCTTGCCACCTTGTAGAATGTAGAACAACTTTTCATGTAACTTGTGTGCTTATGTGGGTATGAAAAGGGACACAGAATATACCTGTCACTTGAATTTTTTAAATTTTATTAAAATGTCATTTGCTAAAGAAGCAGTTCATATCTTGACCAAGTTGAATTCTTTACGAAGAAAAACATGATTTCTCTGTATAGAGATTGATTCTATTTTCATGTGAAATATTTGGAGGCCTGGCGAACGCCATCTCATACTAGCTAAAAAGGCAGCAGAATCTTCAGGTTGTTGAAGGCGGCTGCCTCAAATCGAAAGAAGGAGAAACATTTCTGTGTCCCTTCTCTCCCCCTTACAAACATGCATGTGTGTCGTTTGTTGCTTGCGTGTGCTCATGACCTTGCACGTTCTTTGCACGTTGCCATGGCAATAGGGCGAGCAGTGTGCGCAGGAGCTCGGTCACACGTCCAAGACTGTCGGCGCTTCCATGGCTCAGCTACTAACCGCAGCCGCACAGGTAACATACAGGGCAGAGGGCATAGGGCAGGGGTCAGGTCAAAGGGTAGGGGTCAGGTCATACACAGGGAGGGTCATTTTAAATGGTAGTAAATAAAGAAAAACTATAAAAAGCCTATAAAATTTTGAACTTTTTTATGACTCACTCAAAAAAAGTCAGCCTCGGTTCTTTAGCCACAAAAAAAACAACCATGAAAGAAGGGGTAACATTGTAAAGGGTAGTTAACAAGCTTTTAAATGATGTATGATACAGCACAATTAATGAGTAACAATACAGATAAGATTGGCATGATTGATATTTTTTTATAAGCTTAGAAAACTATCCAAAGAAAAGTAAATTGCCTGCATGAGATAGGTTATGATTGTTCATGTTTGAACAACAAACTTGACATTTGAAAACAAATTTTGATCCTTTTCTGTATCTTTCCAGGGCAACGAGAACTACACGGGCCTGGCAGCGAGAGACACAGCCAACGCTCTCCGCACACTGACCGGTGCTGTACGGGGGGTGGCAGCAGCTACCTCCGACAGACAGGTAATACTATAGTAGTCAGCAGTGTGATGGCAGTTGGCAGCCCTGTCTGCACTTCATGTACACCTCAGCAGAGCATACTGCACCTGCGTGAAATCCGTAATGTATTGTGCATAGCACTTCAGCAGAACGTCTCATATGAGGTCGTATTTGTGTATAAAAGGTTAACATCCCGTCTGTAGTTTCCAAATGTTGTGTCTGAAAAGATATCGTCTGCAACAGGAAAAATTGTGATGCAACTTTGACCAAACATCCAACAGAAACCGTGAAAAATCAGGGTTTTGCGCAGGTACAGTATGTTCTGCCGACGTGTCTGTTGTGTTTAGGTTTAGAGTCGTTAGTGACGCATCGTTACCTGATCCAGTTTAACAAGCAGTCAGCAAAGGTCACGCGTGAAGGTCACACATGATGCTGCCATGAGTCACGAGCGACCCTCGACCTACAGCTTAACCCCTGACCTTAGTCTTAATGTCACTGTTGTAACATTTAAGAACAAAACAACAACAAAAAACATAAGAGAACTGGATTCAACTAGCTGTTTTTCCGTTAAACTTAAAAGTTATAGTCAGTCACGCATGTGAGTACTGAGAAGCTGAGAATTAACTAATTATTGAGAACTAATTAACTTAAGAGTGACAGTGATTAACGACGCGATACAAACCCTGTAATTAGTGTAAACGGTTTGCCCCCTCCGGCTTCAGACATCCTCCTTTCTGGGAAAAGTTTTCCTTCAGGGGACAATTGGGACGATAAGATCTATGTCTGGTCATACCATCTCAAACGGGGAGTTCTACACAAGACGAATTTAATTTCATTTTTACTGTTTTAATCTTGTAGAAGCTGAAACCTTTTTCTTGTATTTTGTAAAGGTTTTTGGTTAGTATGAAAAGAAGGAGATAAAAAATAGTGCATGTAGTTTACTAAAAAAAATTAGCTAACCCTGCCACCCCTGTTTATGGTGCAGTCCACTGGCCAGATATGCTGTACTGTAGTGTCAGATGGAAGAGTCCATCCGGTTATGGGGAGGAAAACATATTTTTACCTACTCTGTGCAAAAGCCAAACCTAACAATTTGTGAACCAGCACATATTGTCAACATTGTAAGGACACTTCTGTATATTTTTTTGTACAAAATTGGTTATTTTTAGGCAGAAAAATACACTTTTTTCATTTTTTTTTCTCCAGGCGCAGGACCACCTGATTGACACTGCCCGCGATGTAATGGACAAGTCCGTGAACCTGATAGAGGAAGCAAAGAAGGCCGTGAACGATCCAAACAACCCCGACAACCAGCAACGTCTGGCGCAGGTTTGTAACTCAGCAACCGCCTGGAAGAACCAACGTGAAGTCCTCTAAAACACTAACTTTGGTTTTATTCTCTTGTAGGGCTCAAAGTTGTTGTTTTTTTTGTGTGTGTGTAAGCATGTAACGATAAATTTTATCCAGGTAAGGTAAGGGTAGGTTTGATTTATGTTCTCAGGACAATGTAGTACAACAACTGATCAGAACAACCACTCCAATATCTGTACATGAAGTCTGGTCCCACCCTGAATCTGTAAATGTGTATCAATCATCTTGTCTAGTCCCAAAATTCAGATTTTTTAGAAGTACATTTGAGCCAAGGTAGGTTTGGATTTGCGGTTGCTTATTTTCTCTAAAAGCTTGTTTGTAAAAAAGACAATTCTCTTTGAAGACTCTCTCAGACTGCATTGAAGCTGTCCTAATTCTGTTGTTTGTTTGATCAAGACTCCTAAACACTTAGTCAGTCTTGTCTGTAGTTTTGAGCAAGGTATGTGCGAGTGGCTGTCGGAAACAATGCCTTACAATAATTTATTTTCCAACGCTGACAGAACAAACCCTCTGGCAAATTCTTAACAAGCTCGCAATAGTCATAGACTAGTCTTTTCACAATCAGCTCAGTATACAGTAAATATCTTAGTTCTAAAAGGGTTAAAAAAAGGGTTAAATCCAACTATGTAGTTTGACTACAGTTTGGTCTAGAGTCGAAGGAAGACATATTCAGGTACAGGTGAGTCAATTGTTGTTTGGAAACAAGAGTTTTCCGCCGTCTGGCCCAGAAAAGTGGACAGTTGTCACCTAAGGGCTCCGGACATGTGTGAGGTCATGTAAGTTATGTCAGCTAATTTGGTCACAAGGACTTCTAATTTAGTAGTGAAAGTGGGACAGCCTCGTTAATTAGAAAGTGAAAGGATTGTGTGTGATTTGTTGTGTCAGGTTTAGTGTTTTCAAATCACTTTCACACAGGTGTGAAACACTTGTATTGTCCACTCAATTGTTGTTTATTTGTGTGATTTGTTTGGCTAAACAAAACTGGTTCTATCTCCAGTATTTGACTGAATAGAGGAGAAAATTTACCCTAAAAATACTGGAAAAAATTGTGGTTTGACCTGACTGGGGCCCTGTTCAGCGTGAAACACTGTGTTTAACTTTAAGGACAATCGGAGCAAAGTTGTTTGGTGACATTCCACGGGCAATAGGGCGTAATTTTGTTTAAACTACGACTGTAACCTTTTTGTGTGTTTATAGTTGTCTGTTCAAAAGCAAGAAGAACACTCGGGGGACTGGTAAAATCTGGTCTATGTGGACAGGTGGTCACTATAGACAGGGTTTTTAATGCTTGTGTAGAGGAGAAAAATATTTTAGGGCCCAACAAATAAAAAGTAGTCAGTGGTCTTACGTCACTTCTACATAAGGAGGCAGTCACTTCTACATAAGTTGTTCATTTTTGAGAGAGAAAATCTTAATACCAGCCAATCAAATATGACTCAGGTTTTTAAACTATTTTGATAATATACAGAAACATTAAAAAGTTAACATAAGAAAAAGTGCAGTGGCTGAAACTATGATAAAATTTAAAAATACAACTTTCAGCAATTTGTGTTCTCTCAAATAAGTTGGATAAAAAGATTCCTGTTTTAAAATCAGGATCACAACGAAAAATCATGATTTTTAGTTTCTAACTCATAAATGATTCAGTGAGGAGGGGGGCAGACATCACAAGGTCACGGTGCCCCAAGGTCGGGTTCTGAAATAGACCCATGTTGTTCCCCTGGGACTGATTTTTGGCTCTGCAGAATCAAATATTGATGAGGACATGCGTAAAATTGCAGATAAGAGAGTCCCAGGAAAATACGCCGTTAGCATAATGGCCATTCATCGTGTTGGTCGGCTCCCGATCTAGATGGGACCAAAGAATTCATTTTACATGAAAACTACCAAAAAATGTTAGTTCTAGACATTTAGTCCTTACAAGGCCAACAGATCCTAGGTTCAAGTAAGTCTGGTAAGTAGTTTTTTGCAGGAAAAAGACTGATATTGGGCAAAATTTTTATTAGATTGGATACTTAGGATTTTTGTCATGCTGGATAGCATTTTTTTGTGCCTATATAGCATTCTCACTGAGTTTTCAGCAATGCCCAAAGAAATCTGGGTTAAGATGCAGAGAATTTTTGACAGTTTTCTGACAGATTTTCTTTTCTTGCCAGGTTGCTAAGGCAGTGTCCCATGCGCTGAAAAATTTAGGCAAAAATTCCTTTGCCAACTGATGAAGTATATTTTTCTCCAAATTTTCAACAACACCAGTCCTGAAGAAATGTGGACTATTACTAAAATGTAGAGAAATTTTTGACATCGAAGAAATCTGGACTTACATGTTGAGAATTTTTTGACAGTTTTTCTGACATATTTTCTTCTCTCCCCAGGTTGCTAAAGCTGTATCCCACGCGCTGAACAACTGTGTGAACTGCCTACCAGGCCAGCGTGACGTGGACTTTGCAATCCGGAACATCGGGGAGGCCAGTAAGGCACTGCTGTCAGGACAGGTAGGGCTGGGTTCAGAGTCAAACAGAAAAACAAACGAAAATAGAAAATATTGTAGTTTTTAGTCACAGTAGACACCAAAGATGCCTGATTTTTGACTGCAACAATTTAAAGTTAGTGTGACCTGAAATCAAAATGAAAGAAAAATGAATGGAAATTTTTAAAACTTTTGGTTGTATCTTCAATAGATGTTTCTAACTTTTAAGTTTGGAAAAAAATTCAAGTCAATGAATAGAAAGAATTGTCAGTGTTAAGTTGGATGTTACTATAAATCAGCTCTAAAATGAAGCATAATGAAAGATTACATATATCAGAAACAAAAATTGTTTCTTCTTAAATCAGGCATCTGATGGTATGTTCTTATAGTTAGACATGAGCTGCTTCTTAGTTCATAGTCTGTTTAGAATTTAGAGGAAAAATCGTTACAAGAAAAATGTATCAAAATCTCTATCCCATCCAAATTGCTACATTTTCTCCAAAACATTGTGGCTATGTTTCACAGTAATTTTACTGTAGGTTGTACCTCCTTCATCTGATTCTTTCTCTTCCACTCTTTCCAAATTTCTTTGTGCACATTTTTTTCTGTACTTATTTTAATGCTTTACAGGTAGGTGATTCCTCTTTTTATTTTGATTTGTGTATACTATAATTCACAGACACCATTGAATACAATCATTCCAACCTGTTCTTTCTAGATCTATTCATCATAATCTGTTCTATTACCATCCCTTTAAAGAAAACTGTATTTTTTTAAATTTCCACATAAAACCTTTGCTTGATCATCTTCACCACCTAAGCAGCTTCTATGTTATAATTTCCACCAGTATTGCCAGTAACAATTAAGATTTTCAAGCCAATGCTGGCAGTGTATAGCATAGTATAGTGTGCCATATTGCTTAATATCACTTGCACATATTAATTCTTTTTTCATTGCCATGCATTTATTGTAACAGTCATAGAAAGTGCTCTAGAAAAAGATGTACTTGTAGGCTAATACATTTGCTTTGAAAAAGTCAACATGCTTAGATATAACATACATGTCATCATGCTTGTGCAATATACATTATAGTCTATAATTTAATTACATGTAGTATCATTTAACTGCAACATAATTTTCTCATTTGCTATTTACGAGTTCCATTTTTCAGTCATTCTACCATCTATGTCTGGGTTTGTATCAAACAAACAAATAAACAGTTTTATCAATGTCTGAATTTTTATTAAAAGCATAAAGGTCACTTTTCTATGTTCAGCCTTTTCTACTTTTCTAGCAACTCAAACAAAGCCACCATTACTATTTTAAGTGATTCTGAAACATTTTTGATGGTGAAGAGAAAGTTGAAAACTTAGTGGTTCATTTCAAATCCATTCCCGTCGTTACTTGTTCTTCAACAGTGCTTTAAAAATTCAGAAAACATTAAGAATTCTTCATGTTTTTTACAAACCCAGACCAGTGTTTTGCAGTGCATTCCTTTCTGCTTTCTGTGCCCCTGTTCTTTTCCACAGTCTCCAAAAGCTCCAAACATCCAAGCTAGAAGTACAGATGAGTACCGAAACTTGGTTAAACATTCAGAGACATGAAACCCAGACCAGGTATTGTGATCGGAAAACAGTATATGTGGGTTGGAAAAGTGAAGCCCAGAGTTGCCTTGCCATGTCCCAAACTGTTGTTTGTACTGTTGTGGTTTTGTGTGTGTTTTGGTATCATTATATTGTTGTGTTGGACTCAACTGATGTTGCTGGATCCAGTGGACAGGTTCAACTAAGGACAAGAGAGGTTTAGCATTTAAATGATTGACAAGCACTTGTTTTGGCTACAAAAGATCTATTTTTAGATTCTGCCTTCTGGAAAAAGAGCAACAAAGAGAGGAAGGCAGTACATTGTAGTTTGTCTTGCTGAAACTGAAAATGGGCAAAATTCCTGCATTTTTAGAGCCTTGCCTAAACCAGGACTTCTAATATACACTGTTTTTGTTTCAATCCTTGACGTTACAGCAAAAACAACAACAAAAGGGAAAAAGATTTTCATAGAAATATGGGCCAAAGTCCTGTATTTTTAACATTACCTTGTCCTAAAACAGAAAACTTCATTCTAAAAAGTAACAACAAAAAGAAATTTGGGCAAAATTCCTGTGTGTTTTATTATTACCTTGTCCCAAAACAGAAAGTTTCATTTCTTAAAATTTACAACAAAAAGAAAACAGGCTGAAAGGAAAAATAGCAATTTTTGGATCTACCCTTCTCTTGTCCTTAACTGAACCCCGTCCAGCAGGTAAGACGATGACTAATCCGTGTGTGGTGTTAGTGCGGGGTGTCGGGTGTGGTGGTGTATTGCCGTGGTGACAGTAACTGTGGTGACGGTGGCGGGCCAGTGGTTTCCATGACAACCGCTCCAACCCTGTAATCTGATATCACACAGGCTCTTCCGAACGTTGACTTGACCCAATATTACGTCAGCGGGGCGGCGACCTCCGAACTTCAACCTTACGACCTGCGACCTTACGGGTCACCACCGCAAGGCGGCGCGGAGGGATATACCATTTCGTCCACGTGGGAGGGGCAGGGGTACCCGCCGGAGGGACAAGCAGCCATGTACCAAAACGGAGTTCCAGGAATGTACAGCCTTCCAGGAATGCCATACGGGGGGCAGTATGGAGTGCCGGCTATGTATGGTGGCCAACAAGTCATTCTGCTCAACGGAGGAGCGCAAGGATTCATGACAGAGGGAGATCGTTCGATGAATTACGGTGTACAGAGATCTTTTGTGGAAGAAATGAAGCCAGAAGGTGATCGTGGTGCAGCGATGAGCTACAGCTACAGTTACGGCGGCGTACAAAACACCGGTACACTCGGAAAACCGTTTGTGGAAGAGCTTAAACCGCAGGAGCTAGGAGTAGACACGACGTCTACAACGTTCACAACTTCCATCACGTCAGGCAGCAGCCAGTACGATGCAATGTCCGTCAACAGCACAGACATCGACTGGAATGAAGTCGACTTCGACCAGACGGTTTACAACTACGGTATCGAGCAAGGAAAAGCCGGGCAGGCGGTGGTAAACCTATCCGCGCTGCGGCAGGAACGTAAACGCAAACAGGAGGTACAGTTCGTCGAGCGTGAGGTCGAAGTCGAGTACGTGGAGGAGGAGAAACATGTGTTAAACTACGGAATCGACAAGACGGCAACTGGGAAGGCCATCATCAACCTGGACAGTCTCAAGCCGTCGCCGAAGAAGAAAGTGAAACGGAAGAAAGCGAAAGTGGAGGAAGAGGAGAAGGAGGAAGTGATCGAGTGGGACGATTCGGATGTGGAAACCGTGGCGACGGTCCAGTCGATAACCGACGAACGCCCGGACGAACGATTTGATGACGAAAAGCGACGTATAAGGATGCAGATGGAACAACCGATTGTGAAGCGCCGCACCTACCACATCGACGAAACCGATGAAGATATCCACGTGGACGACTCCACCCCCGTCTTTGAGGCATTTTTCCGCTACATCGGACACGGGGAGCCCTACCCAGAGAAACCGAAACCCAAAGAGGAGGTGGAATTCCCCCACTGCGATTTCACCATGCCCGAGCGACTCGACTACTCGGAAGGTCTGACCAACATAGAGGAAAGGAAAATACGACCGGAGGAACGTAACCTGGATTTCGAAGCCTTCTTCCGACACTACATGGAAGAAGCGCGAAAGCGGATGGAAACACCAACCATTACACGTGAGTGGATTAAAGTCCCAGATGATCATGACGTCCCCAAGGATACCGTCAAGCCGAATTTCGACGCTTTTTTCCGCAACTACCCAGATATGGAGCCAACCGCGCAGGTTAAGGAAGAGAAAACAGAGAAGGTTGAGATTCTGAGTTTCGAGTCTGAAGAAGAAGTGAGGGTGCGATCGTCGGAAGAAATCGTACGCGGGAAAGTGGAAGAAAAGCCGCAGGATCGCAACTATGTCTGGCCCAACTACGACGAATTCTTCCGCAGCTATCCCTCCATGGTGAAAGGCCGCGAATTCGGGATCCAGTGCAACGTAAAGGAAGAAATCGACGGACCGAGGGCAAGAAAGATCGGCGTTCTGCAGCGGTACCGCCGTCTGGTTCGCGTGGCGGCGATGAGATACAACCAGGCTCTGGCAGCAAAGATAAAAGTCGCGAAAATCTCCAAGGAGTTTCACCTCTCGGCTACGAAGCTGGTTGTCTCGGTTCTCTCAGTGTTTGATAAGATTGAGTTTGGAGGAAGGAAGATGTCTGCTGAGGGACTCACCATCTTTAAGCAAGATGTAACGTCTTGGGTTTGGTTAACTCTTGTGTGTCCAGAGCTCAGAATTGGCTTGAAAAGACCTCAGTGTTGAATAAATCATTGAATGAACGTTTTTGCCACATTTGGCTATGTAAAGGTCACAAGAAAACATTACAAATCTTGCTCAATAAAAGGCACATGTACATTAGGGATGCAAATGTTTTGGAAATAATAGATTGAGAAACACAAATAAGGGAGACATGATCTCTCGTCAAATTTTAGAAATTAGTTCTGATTGGATCTGATTAAGAAAAAAAACACATTGCAATATGAAGAAGTGTAGTACAGAAACTGTAAATTACCATACTCTAATGATACTAAGCATGCAAATCCAAAGGAGATAAAACAATCCCGTCTCCATTTACAAGTTAAAATCAACACAAAAAATCAGAAAATTTGGTACAAGAAGGAATAAATCCAGAGAGGATAGAATTACTTGAAGCCAAAAATTCTAAAAATGGAGAGAAATGTTTTGGACAAGATTCCAGTCGTTGGATTGACTTCCATATGGAAAATGAGGAATTCCAGTTGTTAACATGGCATTCGTGATGGAAAAGTTGTTGCTCTAAAATAGTAGAGAAAGCAGATGAAGTTTTGTCATGGCACTTGAAAGAAAGAAGCTGGAAGTTCAAAAAGGAGGAGGCAAAAGATTCCAATGGATTTTGGATGAAGATTCTGTATGGAAACCTTCAGATGGATGGAATTAATGCACTGACTTAAAAATTGATCTATAAGAGCAGAAACCTTGGGATGGTTTCTGAAGGAAAGGAATTTGTCTTCAACAAACTTAAGACTATGGAACCCATTGATCCAACTTTTCCGGGACTGAAAACTTCCTAGATTCTTGAATCATTCAATGATGGAGTTTCTATGATGAATCCTTATCTCACAAGCCATGTCAGGTTCAAAGAATTGTGATATATTTGATTCAAAAGACAACTAGCACTGGCAATCTAGTCTTACAAGACATCTAGCAATGAAGCATCAGCACTTGTGCACAATGCACAAACAATGAAGGACAATTCTGAGCTCTGGACTGAACTCTCTAGAGGTGGCAACGCTGGTGGTGGTTTCTATCAGCCTACTGTAGATGCCTTAGAACCCCTGCCCCCCTCCCCACCTGACCCCTGACCTTGCTCAGTAAATGCACCGCTTTAACCTCTAACACAGCCATGGAATTGGGGTGACCTTGAATATTAAGACTTCTCCAATTTCTCTAGAAAGGAATTTCAGAAGTCTTTTATTACAATTTCCTTCCAGGTCCCTTATAAGAAAGTGTTTTGGTAGTAGAAAGTTTTTGTTTGTTAGTGTTTTGATTTTTTGTTGTTGCCGTGGTTTTTGTTTGTTTGTTTGTGACTTGGGAAGGCAATCTTGGGCAAGCACTGTTCCCCAACACCACCATTAAGACCTTGAAAAAAAAGACTATTATGGTCTGCCCCATTCATGTATGCATCAGTTCACAGGTGTGACAACACCTGGTGACCTTGAAAATGTCACGCACAACTGACTCATCCTCTGTACTCCGCCAGAGGCTATTTTAGGGGTGTAACAGATAAATACCTCTCATATCTTTTGTTGGCTCGTAACCAGAGAACATGAGTCATGGAAAACCTAGTCATACCCTCTGTGTCATTTTCAGGGTTTAGTCATGTTTTCCACCAAGAATTTAGACTCACAGTTGACCGAATTTCGACTTTTCAACTATAAAATTCCTGGCTGATTCATCTGCCATTCTGTATATTGACTCGTTCAGCTTTTTCTGCAGTAGAAAAAGAACTTGACCTTCATGTACATGTAGTTGACCTCTAACTTCATTTTAGAACACCATCATGGCAGCTTCTTGTCATAGTTGTAGTTTTCATGCCATTTCTAGATGTTTGCAGATTCTAGATGATTGTAGATTTCATGCCATTTTCTTTCTTTTCCTAATCTTTTCTTCCCTTTCTCCCAACAGCAGATTTTATATGTAATGTTATTTGTGATAAAACTCAGTGGTTGATGCCAGTGTTCATGCTGTAAAGAGCCCCCTGTAGGCCAAATGTGGTACTGCAGATGTGGGTCTGGAGCGCCTACAGTACACGTGTAGTCAAACTGCAAATGTCAAAAATTTCCAGAGGCTGAAAGGAAGCAATTTGGAAAATGTAGATTTTGCAGTATCTATATTCTGTTGAACACCTTTTCTTCTAAGCTCCTGAATCAAAATTCATATTCCCCAAAATGTCTATAACTCTTCGAAATGATAAGGCCTTTCAAAAGAACATGTTACAAAATTCTCATACTACTATTGACTATCTTTTTGACAAACCAACCAAGAGTTCAGTAAGACTGGCATCTCCCACTGTCTAACCCTTCTCGTCCCCATCTGTTGCTAAGCAAACCTTGCTATCATGATCATCTTCATCCTTCCTCCTCTTGCTCATCCGCAGCTCCAGAAAGGCGATGTCAGTTTCAGTAAGACTGGCATCTCCCACTATCTAACCCTTCATCCTCAACTCTTCTTTATCCCCATCTGTTGCTTAGCGACCCCTCTCATCACCCTATTCTCTTCATCCACAGCTCCAAGAGGGCAATATCAGTTTCCCATCTAACCATCCTTCACCCAGCCTCATCTGTTGCTATGCAACCCCTCTCATCAACCTATTCTCCTCATCTGCAGAAAGGCGATGTCAGTTTCCCATCTAACCCTCCCTCACGCAGCCTTCACAGCCTCATCTGTTGCTAAGTAACCCTATTCTCCTCCTCCGCAGCTCCAGAAGGGCGATGTCAGTTTCCAGGAGGTTCAGACGATGCTCAGTACGGCTGCGCAGGAGCTCAACATGGCGTCCAGCGAACTGGTCGTGGCCTCAAAGGGAACTCACGAGCAACTGGCCCAGGCCTCCGGCAAGTTCAGTAAGGACTTCAGCTTGCTACTGGAGGCTGGGATGCAGATGGCAGCACAGACTTCGGTATGTAGTACTGTAGTAGCTGGTGTACTGTAGTAGCACTGTAGTAGTAGCAGTAGTAGTGAAGTAGTAATCTCGAAATTTCAGCAAGGACTTCAGCCTGCTACTGGAGGCTGGCATGCAGATGGCAGCACAGACCTCGGTACGTAGTACTGTAGTAGTAGATGTAGTAGCTGTAGTACAGTAGTAGTAGTAGTAGTAGTAGTTAGTAGTAATAGTAGCAGGCCTCGGGCAAGTTCAGCAAGGACTTCAGCCTGTTACTGGAGGCTGGCATGCAGCACAGACCTCGGTATGTCTTACAGAAGCAATTACTTTCTATCAGGCAACTTGTACATGTAGGATCTCTAAAGAGCTTCAAGATACTGCTAAGTCATTTTCAAAATTTCTCCAGCAGCCACTGTATAGTTTTTCAATGCTGAGAAGTAATAATGTCAGCTAAGAGAGTTTGAAAAAGAGTACAGACATGCCTCAATGTGCAATCTTATTAGTCAAGACTCCAGGAAGAGTAGTGTGAATGCTACTAATGCCAAACCAACCAAAGCAGACTTCTTTCCAGCTGTACTTTTGTTTTCATTGTCTAAATTGCAAGAACAAACTCACTGTTGATTCATCTGCTGACTTCTCTTGTTCCCAGGATGAGGAACAGCAGTCCTTGATGGTGAGTAACCTGAAGAGTATCTCCATGTCATCTATTAACCTGTTCTTTCCTTCCTTTGTTCCTTAGGATGAAGAACAGCAGTCCTTGATGGTGAGTAACCTGAAGAGTATCTCCATGTCATCTGTTAACCTGTTCTTTCCTTCCTTTGTTCCTTAGGATGAAGAGCAGCAGTCCTTGATGGTCAGTAACCTGAAGAGTATCTCCTGTCATCTATTAACCTGTTCTTTCCTTCCCTCTATCCCAGGATGAAGAACAGCAGTCCTTGATGGTGAGTAACCTGAAGAGTATCTCCTGTCATCTATTAACCTGTTCTTTCCTTCCCTCTATCCCAGGATGAAGAGCAGCAGTCTTTGATGGTCAGTAACCTGAAGTGTATCTCCTGTCATCTGTTAACCTGCTCTTTCCTTCCCTTGTTCCCAGGATGAAGAACAGCAGTCCTTGATGGTCAGTAACTTGAAGAGCATCTCCTGTCATCTATTAACCTGTTCTTTCCTTCCCTCTATCCCAGGATGAAGAGCAGCAGTCCTTGATGGTCAGTAACCTGAAGAGCATCTCCTGTCATCTATTAACCTGTTCTTTCCTTCCTTTGTTCCTTAGGATGAAGAACAGCAGTCCTTGATGGTGAGTAACCTGAAGAGTATCTCCTGTCATCTATTAACCTGTTCTTTCCTTCCTTTGTTCCTTAGGATGAGGAGCAGCAGTCTTTGATGGTGAGTAACCTGAAGAGTATCTCCATGTCATCCTCCAAACTCCTGCTGGCTGCCAAGTCTCTCTCAGCTGATCCCAACGCTCCCAACGCCAAGAACCAACTCGCTTCAGCTGCAAGGTGAGATGTCTTTAACTTAAGTCACACTGTCTAACAAATCAGTAATCTACTTTTCAAAGTCCTCCGCACTGACACTGACAACACTTTGAAATTGCTCAAACTGTGTCTTTCCTTGGCCTTTTGGCCATCTCTGTTTATAGTCATCTAGTCAAGTTACATTTTCCGTCAGAGTTTCTTTTCGAAAACCTACCAAACTGATTAAAGACTTTAATTTGGTACTTTGATATTGGTATATGGTATTTTGATACTGGACATCAAACTACGTCTTTCTACATTTTTGTCAAACTGTTTAAAATAAATAAAAGAGGAAGCATTCTAAAGCCAAGATGCTGATTTGTGTATTTATCTTTTGTATAATTTGCATTTATTGGCAATGATCATGGCTCATGTCTTACTAGTTACCTGTACCAGCTTTTGTTAAGTTGTTTACTAGATTGTTTATGTTTACTTGTTTGTTTCCCAGGTCGGTGACTGACAGCATTAACCAGCTGATCAACATCTGTATGCAGACAGCTCCGGGGCAGAAGGAGTGTGACAACGCCTTAAGGAACATTGAGGTAAGGAAGTCAAAACTAACATCTTAAGGTTTAGAGAAGATTCCTGAAGAAGGTGCCCTTTCTCTGGTCTGACTTCCTTTTTACATGCCTCCATCTTTAAGGATGGTAATGTCTTGAAGACAGACAAATTTATATTCTTAAGATTCAGAGAAAATACCTGAAGAAGGTACCTTTTTTCTTCCGTCTTCTTGGCCTCCTTTTTACATGTCTTCAAATTTCTTGAAGGAAGACGAAGCTACCATCTTGAAATGTGCCTTTTTCTTCAGATCTAAGTTTTCCATTCCAGCCTTGTTTTTTACAGTCTTATTTTCCTGTCTTGTACTTGTAGTATGACTTGGTTTGCCTTTCTTGTCTTTCTTGTCCCTTTACTTACTCCTTAACTCACACCTTAGCCGTCTGAAGATGTACCTGAGACAGGTGAAACACCTGAAGACACAGAAGAAAAGACAGAAGAAACTGCAGCTGTACTTACATTTTCATGCTTTGCTCAATCTTTTGTGTTTTCCACAAATATTTTTTGTTTCACGTAAAAGCCATTAAAAAAAATTATCATTAGTTCATATTCATTTGCTTTTGTGCAATTCATTAACATTCTAACACTGAAACATATGATTTAGTTTAGTTTTAACATTGCTTTAACTCTTTTGTGTTGCTTTGCTTGTTTTTGTTTTCTGTTTTGCTTATTTCAGCTGGCTTCTTTTCTTCGTTGTCCCTTTCTCCCTCTCACTCAATCCTAGACTTCTACAGAAACTGTCAAGACGGAGAAAACTTCAGAAGAGCAGATCACGGAAACTACTGTACTTAAAGTCTTAGCGACAATCTTAATTTAAAAGTCTTTCTCAAGAAGTCTTCACTACAAGACTTTTTTCTCCATGAGCATTTTTCGCTCTCATGTCTTTGACTTATTTTCTCTTCATCTTTGAGTAACTAATACTAACTCTTTTCTTCTCATCTCATTCTTAGTGCTTAGACTAATTTTTTTTTAGTATTGACTTTTTTTGCATCTTTCTTCTGTACTATTTTTGAGTCTTTTCTTTCTTCTCTCTCTCTCTCCTCTCCATCTCTCTCTCTCCATCTCTCTCTCCATCCCTCCTTCAATCCTCATCACCAGACGGTGACAGAGATCACGGAGGTCCATTCCTCCTCCTCCTCCTCAGCTGTGGTTTCCACGGAGACGAGGAAAGTCTCGGAGTTGAAGAAGGACATGGAGATGCACATCGTCCTGCCCCATCCTGACATCATCACTAAGAGTGTGGAAGTCTACATCTCACACTTCAACAGCCAGACTAGGGTCAACACATGCTCCCTTTCTTTCTTTCAAACTCTCTCTTTTTATTTTTTCTGTATTCTCATCATTTTTTCTGTCTGTCAGTTCTCTCTTTCACTTAATATGCTAGCAACAAACGGTTATTTCAATATTGAAGGGACAGGAAATCTATTAGCTGTCCTACATGTATCCCGTTTTGTCTCTACATGTATATGGCTTTTCAAAATCCCCAACACTGACTGGAAAATTGATATGTTTTTCCTTCTTTTGACCATGCCTGTTTCTAGTATTGCTTGAGGAATGCTCTTTGGTATTTCAATGATGGGAACCTTGGTATTTCAATGACAAGAAGTCTACTTTTCCCATCATAATTTGTTCTCAAAAACCCACCAAACTGACTTGATACTTGTGATATCTTGATATTGAATATTAAACTGTATCTTTCTGCATTTGTGCCAGATTTGATAGGAATGTTTGTGTATGAACATGCTTGTGGAATTTTACCTTTTCAGTCAGATCTTGTGCAAGGCATGTAATGGTGTTTTATCAATTTGTCTATCAATCTATTGGATGATATGTATTGTTGACTTCCAATGTCGCATACTTGCTTCATGATTGAAAAATGTCTTGCCCTACCCATAGCATGGAAATGGGACAGTCCACCATAAGTGTCCTCCATGTAATCTGGCTGCTACCATTGCAGCCCCAGGGGTGTGCAGGTTAGTTCTAACAGTGTTTTTGTATTACAGGTAATGCGCAGTATGCTGGACAACCCCATGGAGCCGGTGAACGACCTCACTTACTTCGACTGTCTGGAGACAGTCATGGACAAGTCTAAGGTGGGAGACGGTGTCTTAAGATTTCTTGAAGTCTTGAAGAAGTTTTTTTCTCAGAAACTCTTGTATGCATGACTTGACAGGCTTTAGTAAAGCATTGTTTCTAGAAAGTTTGTTTGCTACGATACATGCATACACCACAGAACATGTTACTACTGATCAAGTACTTGTTAGATGTCTTTAGGTTACATGTCAAACATGCTACATGTATATTGTAATATTATTTTGGAAATTCTTGGAAATGGCTAGGAAAAGATGTGGATGTAATGAATAAGTTTTTATTACATCTAGGTGTTTTTGGTGGATGAGCTCTTGGTTTTTGCATCATTCTGTTTATCCATCCAGAGTACAAAATGTAGTAACGGTTGGATTGTATATGTGTAGGGAAGACTGACAAGCGGAATGACAAAACTTTTAATGGTCAGACACAATAAATTGGTGTACTTGAAGGTCACGAAAACCCAAAATATTCCCATGTCTAAAATCTCTAATTGTTTTTTCTTGCAGACACTGGGCGAGTCGATGAGCTCCATCACCCAGCATGCTAAGAACAGTGAACATGAGGAGTTTGGTTCTGCCGTGACCAGAGCTTCTACTGCAGTCTGTGGGCTCACAGAGGCAGCTGCTCAGGTATGGAGGGTTTCTTCTTAGTAAACTTGCTGTTACAGTAATTTTTCCAAGATTTTTTAGTCTCTGTACTCTTGAAGAAGCCACACAGGCAAAACCAGTCATGTGACAGGCTGAATAAAGTTCTAAACAGGAACTATGCAGCTCCAGATGTCACACAGTGCAAATCTTAATATGCTGATCTCTGACAGTGACAGAATTTTTCTCCATATTTAGGCAGGCTGCGTATCTTGTTGTCATTGCAGACATTAAACAGAAACACTGTCACCCATTACATATCTTATGTTGCCATTCAATAGTGATCAGAATTCTTCCCTATTCCTACAGACTGCCTACCTTGTGGGCATTGCGGACCCTTCAAGCCAGGCCGGGCGCCAAGGACTGGTGGATCAATCGCAGTTTGCCCGGGCAAACCAGGCGATCCAGATGGCGTGTCAGCAGCTTCTGGACCCGACGACGTCTCAGGCTCAGGTACGGGCCGGAAGTTCCAGTACGGTAACAGTAGGTTTCAGTTAATGTTGGTTTTACGCTGCAGCAGAATGGCCGAAAGCTTGCAGCTTTGCAGAAGCTTCGTCACCGCAGCAGCAGAGAAGAGGAGGATATACTGTATAGTAGGCTTGCTTCCCAGCCCTAGTACAGTAACTAGTGTTACTACAGTAGTTTGTTAGTAATAGTGCTTTACTTCCAGTTCTGTAACAGTAAGTTACTCGATTGACGCCAGCAGTTTGCAGCTTTGAAGCTTCGTCACGATCAAAAAGGCTTGCTTAGTAGTTACTACACACTAGGCAACAGTTCTTTTTACAGTTGTCATGTGTTTTCTCTAGTGACTTTTTTTACTGCTATAGCAGCACTCCAGAACTATGCAGTACGTGTAGTTTTACCTAATACTTGGCGTAGTTTTAAGCAGCAGAATGGCCTGGCTTAACTTGCAGCTTTTTGGTACATACATGTATGGAAGAGGATAGTATTTAGAAGAGGAGGCCAGGCTTTAGTTCTGTTCAAAAAATTATTGTAGTCTCAGTTTTTCTACCTATTTTAATAGCTGACCAGTTCATTAACTGTTACTGTACAGTAGCTTTCAATGGACTAGTGTATTCTAAGCCTGGCTTTGTGTTGTGACAAAATATTAACTGTACAACATATTATACAGTTTCATTAATATTATGGTTTGAAAACGGAAGATACTAAACACTAAGTAATGAAAGGTTTGTGTACAAGGCAACTAAAGTGTTAACCAGGTTTGTATTTAATGTAGTGTACCATTCCTGTACTATGTGTACTTTTCATGTTTGTGCTGGTGGCACCATTTCTCACCACGCTTCTCCATCTCAGCCTCACGTGTGTGTTTGTGTGTTTGTTTGTTTGTGCGTGTGTCCTAACTCTCATCTCATCTCCGCTCTCACTCTTCTCTTGAAACTAGCGCGACCGCACTGTGCCCATCAAGGTAGGTTAGGCCGCATCAACGCTTCGCTTTCCTCTGCACAGGCACTAAATCACGTAAACCCTTCCCATTTTGCACTTTCACAAGGCAAGCCTCCTCTGCACTAGTACAATAAGACAGCCCCAGTCCCTCAGTTAATCCTTATCCTTTCCATTGCCAAATTTTATCTTCTTTCTTTAAAAACTTCACACTTTGTTTTCCACCAGCCCAGTCCTGAATATTCCTCTGCACCAGCCCAACAAAACTTCCTCAACTGTTTTGACTCCAAGACCTCTGATCCCCTGATGCTCAAATTCCTTTCTAGATAATTCTCAGCCTCCAAACCAGATATTTTTCCACAATTTTTCTTCAAATCACAGGTTGCCTCCTTCCCTAACTTGCATACCAATAATCTCACTCTTCTCAACACAGCATAATGCTGCATGGCCCATTCCACTTGCACCATCCTTGCTTCTTTCTAAACTTCCATTGTCTGCATGACTCTCTGAAAAAAATCCTGTTAGAGTTCTAACATAGTTTTAACAATCGTCAGGTAAAAATGTTCTGCCTTCAGGAAAATGTCAGAATAAATTGTTGCATATCAACCATTAACAGAGTACAGGAAGTGTGTCTGTTGTTACACTCTGTAGTTCTGCATAGTAACAGTTGCTATGGGTAACGGTTGCCATGTGTGTGTGTTCTGTAGGTTCTGTCTGCTGCCACGGTGATCGCCAAGCACACCTCCTCGCTCTGCAACATGTGCCGCGTCGCCTCCACCAAGACGTCCAACCCGGTTGCCAAGCGACACTTCGTCCAATCAGCGAAGGAGGTCGCCAACAGCACAGCCAACCTGGTCAAGAGTATAAAGGTGAGGAGGTCAAGGGTGAAAGGGCAAAGTACAAGGGCATTAACTTGACAATGATTCATTTTTGAGGATAACAAAATGGTGCAAAAAGAACTTTTATGTTGTCAGCTTATAATTTGGCTCAGGAATGTTGGTATTTTAGAAAAAAGCCGAAAGTAGAGAAATGTTGAAGGTAGCTAGTTCAGCAAGACCCTCACAACATTGAACTCAAAGACTCTTAAACCTAATCCACTTTGAAACTTCCAGTTTTGTTTCTTCCTGAGGCCAACACCAACTCTGTCCTGCCACTTGCTACATAATGTCATCCAACGCCACATGGTGTCTGTTACCATGGTGACAGACATCTTGATCAGGTCATTGACCTTATGATGTTGGAAAAGAAAAATAAACAGCAAAAACAATGTTTTCCTTTTGTGAAGGCAAGGAGTTACTCAAGTACAAGTAAGTAAGTAGAAGGCAAGGAGCTCTGACTCTATTGAAAGCTCTTTCTATATTGAAAGCTCCTTTACTGCTTGGTAAAGGTAAATCTATTAATTAGTACATGAATCTAACGATGATTGTTTGTTCCCCAGGCTCTAGACGGGAACTTTACCGAGCAGAACCGTCAGCAGGTTGCCGAAGCGAGCAGGCCGCTGATGGAGGCAGTGGAGAACCTGACAACCTTCGCTTCTAATCCTGAGTTTGCCAGCGTGCCTGCACAGATCAGCATAGAGGTAAGGAGCACATAGATGTACATTGTACTCTGTTGTATCCAGAACTGTGCTTTATACAGAATCATGCTCAGGCAAGGTTTTGGATAGTCCACAGATATCCAGAACTGTGCCTCAGGCAGATCTATGTTCTTGGATGCACAGAGACCAGAACTGCACCTGGGGCAAATCTATGTTCTTGGATACATGTACTTACAGAGGATGAGATCTTCTTACACATCATGTAAATAGTCTACAAGAGTACAAGGTTGTTTTGCCTGTAGACAGTCCTCAAACAAAGTATCAAGTATCAAGTATGAACTGCAGAAGCCCAGAAATTTTGGAAATAGTAGAATCATAGGAAGAAAGTTTCAAAAGTATGTTACTACAAGCAAACACCACACTTGTAATGAGTAGATTTACAAACTGAGTGCTGATTGGCTGATTTTTCTCACTTTCCAGGCACGGAAGGCCCAGGAGCCAATCGTGATTGCCGGTAGAACCATCATTGACAGCACTAGCTCCCTGATTACCACAGCCAAGCTTCTGGCAGTGAACCCGAAGGACCCTCCAACATGGCAACTTCTGGCCGGACACTCCAAAACTGTGTCTGACTCCATCAAGAGGCTCATTGCCTCTATCAGGTGAGTGTTGTGATTGGTCAGTTCAAATCACAAGAGGAATGTGATTGGTGCATTTGAATCTAGATAGGGTTTGATTGGTCAGTTCAAATATTTGTTTGCTGGAAGCTCCAAAACTGTGTCTGACCCCACAAAAAGGCTCATTGCCTCTATCAGGTGAGCATTGTGATTGGTCAGTTCATAATCTTGGAAGGGTTTTGATTGGTAGTTAAACTTTGATCACTGGTCTGATTGGTCAATTTGTCAGTTCAAATCGTAGTGTTTGTGTTTGCTAGAGACTCCAAAACCAATCTCAGAATCCATCAAAAATCCATCAAAAATTCTCACTGGAATGCCAAAAGGGTAGCTAGTATTGGTCAAAAATGATAAGAATCAGAACAAATTCAACCCAACTAGCTAACGGAGGCTGTACCATTGTCACAAATCTTTGAATTTTGTTTGCTGAATGCTAAACAAGACTGTTCTGTTATCTCACAAGAGCTACCTGCCATCCAAATTTCGTCACTCTAGCATGTCTAGATCATGAGATATCAAAACGGAAGTTCAGCTGCAGTACCATAACAAGCTGCTAGAGGGTCCAAAATCTAATCATTTTGAGGTCTCATCAAGACCTACCCACCTACCAAATATCAAGACAGTCCATTTAAGCCTTCTCAAGTTATCGTGTCCACAGACGGACGGGCGGACACACACACATACACAAACCCCTCTAAAAACATAACCTTCTCACCATGGCTGTATCATTGTTCCAAACAGGGACAAGGCCCCCGGCCAGCGCGAGTGTGACCGTGGTATAGAGGTGATTAACCAGTGTATCCGTGATGTCGACCAGGCCTCGCTGTCTGCTGTCACCCAGAAACTGGAGGCAAGGAACGAAGGGACAACACAGGTTTGTTTGTTTGTTTGTTTTCTGGTTGTCACCACAACACAAGACCTCAAAGCCAATGGAGGTGTAGGGATACCAGAACTACAAGGATGTTTCGTTTCATGCATTTTTCTTCGTTTCTTTTGTTTCTTCTTTAATTTTGTAGAGTAACATGACTGAAAGGTTTTTTTGGATGGTATAGCTAAAGTATTTTTGATATGCATTAAAATTAATACTGAACCTTGAATTGTCATCAAGATGCGATACATTGTTCCATGAAGACACAGTTTTGAGGAAGAATCTGTTATGTAGGACTTAAGTTTCAAGTCTAAAATGTTTTATAATCAGTGAGGGCAGATTTAATTTAGTTCTGGTTACACACAGACGTTCCAGGAGCAGATGAACAACGCGGCCCACGAGATTGGGAAGAACATCGATGGAGTCGCCTCCGCTGCGAAGGAGAAGGCTGAGAAACTTGGACACCAGGTGGGGAGGGTTACTTTGTTTCGCATAACCGGTAAACCGCCTTTAGGCGTAACACACCAGTTCTGTACAGTAAGTACAAGCTGTGTAAGACCGGACTGTAAGGTTTGAGCCACTCACACCGGGAAGGACCCCTGCTTTATTTTGATAAGTGCGGTGGGATCTTGAAAGTGTGTGGGGTGCGGCTCTGCAGCGAAGGAGAAGGCCGAGACACTCGGACACTAGGTGGGGAGGGTCACTGAAGTTCATTGTTCTGTCTTTCATCAGTTCTTTTAGGACGTGTAGGGATCATTTCGTAAGTTCTATGTCATAGCAGTGTGAATTGTGATTGCTCATTTTTGTAGTCAAATGTTTTCATTTTTTGCTTTCATTTTTCTGTTCAGTTACAATCATTATTAGCACAGTTCAAAACTGCACAACTCTTTGGCAGTGTTACTCTGGCATTTAAAGAGCTTTGAAGTATGCAGAACTGTTATTTTCGTTACTTGAAAAGAGTGTAATAGTCATAGTCCTTCCAGACTGCCTGATATACAGAGAGAGAGAGAGAGAGAAAGAGAGAGATAGAAAGAGAATGAGGGAGAGAGCAAGAGAGGGAAAGAGGACAGAGAGAGAGAGACAGACTACAAAATAATGAATTGAACTGAGCATCAGTTTAGGCTGATTCTGAATACAATTTTTCTACTTTTCTTCCTTGTTCTTAATAATATTATGATATTCTTTTTCTTTACCCCAGGTGACCCAGCTGTCGTCTTATTTCGACCCCCTTGCGTCAGCGGCGATCAACCTCGCCTCTAAGACGATGAACTCCCAGAAACAAGCGAACCTCCTGGAGCAGACCAAGACAGTCGCTGAGTCAGCACTACAGCTGGTCTACACGTCTAAGGAGGGAGGAGGGAACCCCAAGGTATGAACCGAAGAACAGTCTTTTTTCATTGTTCTGCAATATTGCAGAATGTCTAAATTTGCTTTTGAAATTTGGAAATACTTAATGCCAATTCACATACACAAAAAGTCTGGATCTAAACCCATGACATATGCAAATTGCATGTTGGCAAATATTTTACGTGCAATTTTTAAAAATGTTACGCAAAATTACGTCTTGTATATTATAGAGTCAGTAGTAAACTCAAAAGCTCTTAAACATCATTGTACCCGTAGCCTGATTTTTTCAGTCTGCAAAATTGCAGGTTGCTTAATTTTTCTTCTGCAATATTGAAAATGTCTCTGCAAAATGCAGATTGCAGATGGGTATTTCTAACCCTGTTTAGTGTTCTAAGCATTTAGATTTTCACCATAAATTTTCATGAAACTTAACGATGTGATTGCTGGTCTGTGTTGCCAGGCGACCCACGCCCATGCTGCGATAGATGAAGCAGCGGAGGGGATGAAGGAAGCTGTAGACGACCTTCTGAAGACGCTAGACGAGTCGGCGAGCGAGACGGGAGCCGTGTTCGGCATGGTGGACGGCATCACCAAGGCCATGACGGACGTAAGTGGGGATTTCTTGTTTTATTGAAAAAGCTATTCTTCTTTTAACTTCCCAAAACTCACAAAATTTGGAAAAGGTGGGACATTACGTCTTCCATGGTTTACAGAAGAGAAGTCAAACTCTTCATAATCACCAAGGCCATGATTGACGTAAGCGGAAATTTCTATTTTAAAGTTAAAACTTTAGATCCAACACAAAGAAGTTATCTCACCTAGGTCTTCCTCAGTAGACTGACCCAGTGAGGCTTGTCACGTGGCTTCTTTGAAGTGTGACGTCAACACTGGGTCAAAGGTATCTGGTAGATGATGTCGGCCCCTCGCGGTTAAGTGAATGGGAAAAGGGAAATTTCTCGATTTTTGTTTTAATAAAAAGGAGCAATTTGCAGATATCAATCATAGCCAGTTAAGATCTACTTTTTTAGCTTCTTTTTTCAACAAGAATTAATTTCCGAAACAATGCCCTAGAACTGTGTGTAAAAAGGTATAGACTTCAACTTCAGACTCTCACTTCAGGCTTTCATTTCAGGTATTTTTCTTCAAAATAGTAAATTTGTCAAATTGGTGTTGCCTAAAGCTGATGTTGTTCTTGTTTGTTCCCAGATGGTAGACGGCAGACTGGAGGACAAACCAGACGGAACGTTCGTCGACTATCAGACCAAGATGGTGAAAATCGCCAAACAGATCGCAAGGACTTCACACGACATGGTAAATAATGTACAAGTGTCTTTCCAAATCCTCAAGAACCAGCTAACTCTTACGTGAAAGTTGCTGTTCTTAACATGTGTGTACTCTCAGTCTCTGTTGGTACATCAGGATTTAGGATGAGCTTGCTTGTCATATGGGTGTAGGTGTAGGATAGTTTGAAGTATTTGAAGCTTTGCACACAAGCATTTGCTAAATGTGAAGTTCACTGGGATACATTTGTTTGAAGGAATATTCTTTGTGACTCACAGATACATACTATGTATCAAGCCAGTTTCAAACTGCAAGATGAACCTTTGTTTCTACTAGTAGGTACAGTTACAGTCATCATAACATTATAAGAATGTGTGTGGTATCTTTATTCATAAATAAATTAAGAAAGAAAACTGGTGGGAGAGTGAGCATTACCAGAATACTGACTTGATGGTAATCTTTTTAACAACCTTAGGTTGGTAAAGCATCGTCCTCCCCAGAAGAGCTGGGTCCGCAGGCCAACTCCCTGTCACATGACTTCTCGGAGCTCTAGTTAATAATGATGAGTTAACAATGTTAACTGTCCCCCAGGTTGGTAAAGCATCGTCCTCCCCAGAAGAGCTGGGTCCGCAGGCCAACTCCCTGTCACATGACTTCTCGGAGCTGGCTGTGCAGAGCAAGGGTGCCATGGCAACCATCAACAGCCCAGAGGTAAACACTGTTTGTTTGTTTGTTTGTTTGTTTGTTTGTTTTATACCAACGTCACTTATTGGTTCTTCTTTAGTCATACTGTTACTGGGTCTTCTGTATGTTGTTGTTCTGGATATTTAGTACAAGGTGATATATATATTGAAAAAACTGAAAGATAAAAATTTTATTTTAATGATGAAATAATTATTGATTCGATGTGACATACATGTATGGACGAATAGCAGGATAAGTCCAAAAGTTTGCTGTACCTGAAAATAGGGAAATTTTTCTTACCAGTTTTCAAGATTTGTTTATTGACATCTTGGTAATAGGTATGGATTAAACATATTTTGAAATCAAGTTGTTGTCTGTTTTTCTTACCAGTGATCAAATCTTACAAATTTTATGGCAACTGTTACGTATACAGGACAGGGAATTTTTTTCTCACTTTTGGCTATTGTATAATTTCTATTTCAGCTGTCAGACAGAATCCGTAACTCGGTACAGGACCTGGGGAACTCCTGTGTGGATTTGTGTCATTATGTTGATAATTGCTACATGTGTTGTTACACACTGCTAACTGCTACATGTATCATTCTGTTGCAGCTTTCGGACAGAATCCGTAACTCGGTACAGGACCTGGGGAACTCCTGTGTGGATGTAGTGAACAACGCCGGAGCCATCCAGAGTAACCCGTCTGACACCTACGCTAAAAAGGACCTCATCGAAAACTCCAGAGCTGTGTCTGAAAAGGTAATGTTAAAATCATAGAAGTTGTCATGAAATGTAGTAGGCCATACCATCTATTTTGAGTCTCTGACTTGCATTTTATTAGTGAAAGTTTGTCAAAAGGACAAGATGAAAAAGGCAGGGGAGAAACCTTCAATCTGGTATAAGACTGTGTGCACTAAGGGTACAGACTTTATCCTTGGATTTTCTTTTTATCTGGAGCTTTTAGTTCAGCATTAGTGTTCTCTCAAATTTGTGTGGCAGTAGGTACATGTATGATCACCACCAACTTTTGGGGTTACTCCATAAAAAAGACCTGCTACCTATTGTTCACTTCTTTCGCTAAACATGCAATTTTGGGGTTAACTCCAGTTTGGAACAGAACACAATGGAAAAGTACCCCATTGTAACCCTTATATTTTCTGACTCAGCTAGTAAAATATGTTAACACAAAATATTCAGCAATGTTAATAATCAAACTTGTTTGTTGCAGGTATCATTTGTGCTGGCGTCCCTACAAGCCGGCTCCAGAGGCACCCAGGCTTGCATCAACGCAGCGAGCACGGTTAGCGGCATCATCGGTGATCTGGACACCACCATCATGTTTGCTTCAGCGGGGACGCTCAGTCCTGAAATGGAGGATGAAGCATTCGCCGATCACAGGTTTACGTAGTTGTAGTATCCAGTCTGCTGGGGTCCCTGACATGTCTAGTCTGCTAGTATCTACTACGTTTAAAGCTGGTCGGTTCTGACGGCTGATCATGGGTTTGTTTCAGCTTAAAAAGATGTCATAAAAAAGCCTCTCAGAGAGTTGAGTATTGTTCTGTTCCTATAAGCCGAAGCTTTAACTTCGTTTAAGTGGTTCCTTGGTCTGAGTAAATATTCCTTCTTTTTCAAAGATGTACTATTTTTAAAGTAAGCATTCACTGATCACATACTTTTTCTGAACTAAAAAAAAATGTCTATATACATGCAGATACATGTATGTCTTCTGTGAGTAATTTTAACAATTTTAACGTCTTAATGTCTCACAACCACAGAGAGAACATCTTGAAGACAGCGAAGGCTCTTGTTGAGGACACGAAGACGCTCGTGTCAGGTGCAGCATCGAGTCAGGAGCACCTGGCAGCAGCTGCCCAGTCTGCGGTAGACACCATCACAAAACTAGCCGACGCAGTCAAGTCTGGTGCAGCCAGTCTGGGGCCACAGGATGCAGAGGCACAGGTTAGGGGGGTTTACACAAAAATAATTTTTTTCCTTTGATGGTTTTGTTTTTGGTAGCATTTGTATGTATACTTGGGTGTACATGTTTGTGGTTTGGCAGCTTAGTGCAACAAGCTAGCATCTCCAATTGGGATCTCTAGCAGTAGAATTGGTTGTTCTGCTAGATTGCAATCTGTACCCTGATATTTTCTTCTTTCTTTGTTTTGCAGTACAGTCTCAAATATATGCTAGTAGTTTATATAATTTATAAAATTATGTTTTTTTTTATATACAGAATATGGTTCTTCTGTAATATATAATGGCAACTTTCATTCTGCGTTTTCTGTATACATGCAGTTTTTGTGTTGTCAGGAATACCATGAAACTCTGTCAACAACTTTGACTTAGACAATGATTTCAGGCCAGTGGTTTTTCTATTGTTAGCATTATTATTTGTGCACATGCAACGTCGGTCATTGGTAGTATTTGTAAGAAAACTTTGTGTTGTTCCTCAGGTGTTGCTGATAAACGCAGTAAAAGACGTCGCCGTAGCGCTGGGAGAACTCATCGAGGCGACCAAGAATGCCTCAGGCAAACCAGTCCAGGACCCGTCCATGGTACAGCTCAAAAACTCAGCCAAGGTATGCCCCCTGTCTGGCATGAACGGTACTGCAGTGTAGGTGATGATATGATGTGGCCGCGTGTGATTGGTCGGTTTTTGGTGTGATGCAATCTGGGAAAAAAGTTCAAGCTGACAGGTGGCTGCAAAAAAAAAATTTTCAAGAAAATATTTTTCAAAACTTGCACACTTTTTTTTCAAAGCTGTCTTGTTCAATTTTGAATCAAAGATGTTTTTTAACTATTATACTCAAATTGCTAGCCAAAAGCATAGTTTTGCAAGAAGAATTTAGGTTCGAAGACCTACAACAAGTCCCATAGAAGCTGATGTTGTGCATTTGCATTGCCATGTCTACGTACATACACCACACATACATTATAAGTGTACCCATGTATATAAAACAGTAGCATGTGTTTTTACCCACCCCCACCCAAACACCCCCATACATGTTGGTACGTGTGACGCTAACCTTGAACTTGCCAACAAATACAGCGTTCTGCAACAATTCGAGTTCATGTTCATGTTGGCATGACGACGAGAAAATACAACTAATGTCTAGTTGCCACTAGAAACGGTATGAAACATACATTTTGTATTGTGGCATGGCATCTACTTATATCGACTGCCATTTTAAACCACATTGCACATCTTTCGAGAGTCATCAGCCAATCGTCTTGTGAGTTTTTTGGTTGCCCGCGGCGATGAGGACCTAGGATACGCGTTCGTGCGATCAGCAAAAGGTAACGTGTTACAACATTCTTCGCCACATTATTCGCTACAGTCAGAATGTCACATACAGCTGGCATGTTGCTAGTATGGCAGCGATTGTGTTTGCATGGCTACATTTTTCCAAACCTCTGTCTCTCTCTATCTGGAATGCTGATATTTCTCCACTGAATGCTTCAAACCTTCTCTCAATCTCGCTGTGTGCCTGTCATACTAGCATCCTGTCAGCTGTGGCCTCCTTCACTCCTTCCTTCCTTCCTTAATTCCCACCTTTTCATTCTCCACCTTTTTCAATCCTTCCTTCTTTCCTGGTGTCTTTTCTGTGACAAACGTTTTGTTACAAACCTTTGCCAATTTTCAAACCTTTGCCAAGTTTCAAGACTTCTTTTTCCTCAAATATTGATACTTCTGTTCCTTTTCAAACTTGTAGTTTTTCTTTTTACAGAAAAAAGGTGCTTTTTTAGATTCTGCTCCTTTTTTCTTTCAGCTAAGCTAGAATTTGCAGCTCTTGTTTTTTATGTATGGATGATGCAGTAATGGAGGACTTTATTATATTGTTATGTATATTTTTCTCTGCATAAATTAAGTAATTCTCTGCATGAAGAGTTATTTTTTGTTTTGTAAGTCAAGCTATTGTAGAGTATGATAAATCTGAAAAACATGTATTGAATTTCCTTGCTTTGTTGTTTTTGCCTCTTTTGGTCCACATTTCATCTTAACTTAAGGCCACACCAAATATACATTTCCTTTGTTCTCGGAGGAAAACTTGAATCTTAATTAATTAATTAATGAAAGTTACTAATGAAATATTCACTTCCGGAAACTGAGAGCCAAAATAAAGACCGTCTCCTCAAATTCTGACTCTGAATGTTTTCATGTGGATCTTCCAATTCAGCATTTTATTTATACTTGTAAATCCCTAAACCAACAACAAATGGTGTTGCCATGATTTGAGGAAGAATAGCTTTAAATTTTTCATCTTGATCCTTCAGAATAATGTTTTCTATTCAAGAACCAACAAATCAAATTGGTGTGGCCTTACTTAAAACCAGGTCTGAAAGAAAAAAAAGAATCGTAACCAGTTTTCCTTCCCCTTTTCTCCACTTCTAGCAACTCTTACAAGACATCCACAGTCAGTACATAGTGACCAAACCCAACCAGCCACGCTGGGAGAACTACATCAACTCACTAGCCAAGGAACAGACCAAGAAAAGCTCAAGCCGCACCTACATCACCAAAACTTCCACCAGTCAAGTGGTGACCACAAAAAGCCAAACACAGGGATACATGGTTGGTAAAACTGTGGAGAAGAAAGAGATCACGCCAGACGTTGTTGTCGAGAAAAAAACTGTCAAAACGCAAGCTTCGCTACCACCATCTAGAGAGGTCCAACGACAGCCATCCCCCCGTTATACTTATAGTGACTCATCAGATACAGAAGCACAACATGACAAGAAGAAAGCTGGCAGGACACAAGTTTCACTGCCACCACCTCCGAAGCCAGTGCGCAGGCTGCCCTCACCTGGGTACGTGTACAGCGATGCTTCGGACACAGAAAGGACAGAAACACCAGTCCACGAGCTTTCCGAGGAACCCTCAGAAAACGTTTTTGACATCGTGAAACGCTTCGAACAGGCGGAAATGCGGAGGCTGTACATTGAGGAGGGGAGAGACAGCCCGATGTTACGACACCGATCGCCGAGCCCGCGTCCGGAGTCGCCTCTCGTGAAAAACCGATCGCGAGCTACGGAGGTCCAGTCACCGATCACGTATGTGGTGGAGCGTGTCATCTCACCCACCTTAGACAAGTCTCCTAGTGAGGAAGAATCACGCAAGACTTCTCAGGATGTGCCGACCAGGGCGCTCAGGCCGAAGTCTCCAACACCGGAGTCTCAGCCAGCCCTGATTCCTGGAAGGAAGTCCCCAGTTCCTGGAAGAAAGTCGCCCTTATTAGGAAGTCAGTCCCCAGTTCCAGGAAAGAGGTCGCCCTTATTAGGAAGTCAGTCCCCAGTTCCTGGAAAGAAGTCCCCAGTTCCTGGAAGGAAGTCGCCCTTATTAGGCACTCAGTCTCCGGTTCCAGGAAAGAGGTCGCCCTTATTAGGCACTCAGTCCCCAGTTCCTGGAAAGAAGTCCCCGATTCCAGGAAGGCTGTCACCTGGAGACCGCCCAAGGTCACCCTACCTCAACGTCGTCCACTCATCCACAGAACGACCTCTGACCCCTGAACCCCACGCCAGGACCCTTGACCTCCGACCCTTGTCCCCGAGCTGGAAGGTCGGCGACCCCACAGAAGAGAAGACTGAGAAGAAAGTACAGTTCACGAAAGTTGTTGTGAGAGAGTCGACGGATCGAGAACTTGAGAAGAAGCTGAAGAAGAGAAGAGAAATTGCGGATAGCACAATCGTAGGAGAGCAGCCATCAGAGATGGAGATAGTCGGAGATGAGGATGGGAGATGGATTGTGGAGGAGATCACGGATGCTGGACCACCAGGAGGAGGAGAGGCTGAGGTGTACGGGAACCAGTCCATGGTGAGGAGCAGGGAGGCACACAAAGTAAGTATGGAGGAGGCGGTCCATCGGGATCCCTCCTCCTCAGCAACATCACCTCCTCCTGAAGATGCTCAGGCCATCTCTCAACCACCTCAGGGTTACCTAGCAACTGTCTCCATGGAGACTCCACCACCACTGCCTGTCAGTCATCTGTCTGGTAACCTAGCAACTGTCTCCATGCAGACTCCACCACCGCTGCCTGTCAGTCATCTGTCTGGTAACCTAGCAACTGTCTCCATGGAGACCCCTCCACCACTGCCTGAACCACCTGTCAGTCATCCATCTGGTTACCTAGCAACTGTCTCCATGGAGACTCCACCACCACTGCCTGAACCACCTATCACTCATTCACCCGATCACTTAGAAACCGTTTCCGAGCCACCTTTGCCAGAACCACCCATCATTCATCCTCATGATCACCTGGCAACCTCAGCCTCCGAACCACACCCTTCTCCACCCCTGCCTGAACCACCTGTCAGTCATTCACCCGATCACCTGGCAACCGCCTCCGAACCGCCCTTCATTCCTCCACCTGTTTCTGAACCGCCATCAGAGCCATTCAAACCGCCTGACTTAATCACAGAAATCGAACAGGTCACCGAAGAAGTTAAAACTTCACAGACAATCATTGAAACATCAACAGAGCTGATTCCACCTCCTGATGTGATTGAGATTCATGAGAGAAAACAGGAGGAAACCTGCAGCATCAGGACAACGTCCTCATCACAGATGGAGACAACAGAAACCGTCACAACATCAGAAACAACAGAAGACGCTGACTCAACCGCAGAGAGGAGTTCTTACATCGGATTCGACAGTCCCGTACCTGAAGAAATGGCAGAAGAGAAAATACCAGAGAAGGAAAAGACAACAGGTGCTTCTCCTGAATCTCTAGCAAAAATAGCAGCTGACAAGATACAAGAAAGCGAACTCGAGGAGTCAGAATCTGATACAGATATCGAGATGTGTTACGACGTCACCCCAGGAGGGTTGGAAACCATCTATGAGCTTTCGGATGAACAAGAAGATCCTCACAGTATGGAGTTCGAGAATGCTCTTGAAAATGTTCAATTCGACGAAGAAAGTGGAAGATGGTTTGCAGCAACGGGGATGAAGCCAGTCTTAGCCGGAAAGGTCATCGTGCGGAAGAAGAAGACTTTACAAGAAGTGAAAGTTAAGGAAGAGGTTAAGGAAGAAAGCAAAAGCGAAAGTGTGCAAACAGAGGCGGTAGAAGAAGAAGAAGGCTTGTATCGAGGTCTTCCTATTGTAAGAGAAAGAAAGTGGGATGAAAAGTTCAGACAAGAAGAGGAAGAAAGAATTATTCAAGAACTTGTTGAAGAAGAACAAAGAGCCGCAGCTTTTAGAAAAGCTGAGGAGGAAAGACTTGCGGAAGAAGAAAGGAGGAGACAAGAAAGACTTGAAGAAGAAGAAAGGCGAAGACAAGAAGCTTCTGTCTTCCGAGGAATTCCTCTTGTTAAGGAAAGAAAATGGGACGAGAAATTTAGACAAGAGGACGAAAGGAGAATGATGATGGAGATGTACCTTGATGAAGAAACTGCAGTGGTACCTAAAGATGAGGAAACCAGGAGAGATGATGTACATCTGGATGCTGTATCCAGGCAACAGCCTGTTCCATTGGTCGAGTTTCCAACTTTGCTCGAAGATGACAAAGATGATGTTTTCTTACCTGAGGAACCTACAGAAGTCTTAAAGAAAGAAGAAGCAGACATGCCAAAGGAGGATGCA